CTTAACCTCAGGTGCCAAGTCAACTAAAAACAGCTGGAGAGAGACAGAAATCTAGAGCATCCACAGAACTAACAGAGGCTCTCATGGGGTTCCAAGTTACCCAAGACCAACCAAGTGTCTCTGATTTTGGTTGGTCCTACAATTAACCAAAAGCCTACAATTTAATTTGGCAAGTGGATGACTGACTCAAGAGCAGATCTTATTTCAGCCTCTCCTGAGAGGACCTTATCCTTCTGGTAATCTTTCCTTTTTTTAATTCTTGGCTATAAAAAATGTCATAATATTTACACGCATAGAGGACATCTGTTGTTTTTGCCTGTCTTGTACCTAATCTCTGTTTATTTGAATCTGTTCTTCCCCACTCTTGGTCTTTATGATTTGGGAAGGATTGAATAACAACCCCCTGCCCTCATCCAGATACAGGGGTGGGAGGCAATCAGGACCGACCAGTTTGTTTCGTGCCCTTGAACTCAACGACAGATTTAATGGCATGTGACCCAAACCAGGCCAATATGACTCAGTTTCTGGGCTTTTGTTGGAATTATTGAGAAAGAGAAGCTCTCTTTTCACTAAGACTGTTAAGCTGGAAGCTAGGAGGATGTAATTCTGGATTTAACTGGGGCCAACTCACAGAATCTGGCAGAGAGGCAGAGGACAGCAGAGCAGAAGGATGGATCAAGACTTAATCTCGGCACTGTTTGAACACCTAGATCCAGATGTGCCTGAAGCCAAATACTTTTGAACTTTTAAGAATATTAGCCAATAATTTGACCCTTTTGCTTAAGTCTCTTTTATCTGCATTTCTGCCACTTACAAACAAATGTTGAATGACATAGCCTGGCTACTTTATTCACGAAAACTCTGGAAATTTGTAGCTACTACCTCAGGTAAAAGCCTCAAAAGAAGTAATTTTAGAGAAACTGAAGCCCTGGGAAGAAAGTTGACCAGCAGTTATGGTTAGAACAGAGATTTCTCCACTAACCTCATCTCAGAATAAAAGTACACATGACCAGACCATAGGGAATATACATACATAAAGAACTGGAAAAAATTACCAGTCAAACAGTAGGAATTTGGCAGAGGCATTCAGAAATAGGTCACCCTTGGATAAAGCTTTTCTTTTCTCCATCACATGGAGGAGTTGGGTCTCAGTTCTCTCTAGTGTCTCTGGGGTAGAAGGACTGAAATTTCTGCAGAGGCAGCATATGTACCAATGGGAGATATTACAGAGTTAAAACAGTGGGGTCTCTAGGACTCAACTGCCTTTGGGAGAATGGGCATCACACCACAAGTCCTTCAAAGGCAGTGATCAGGATGACGATCACATTTCTCTGTAAGATAAAGAAACTCAACCTAATCCTTCCCCACTCCAAAGCAGAACTATTCCTTGACCTAAACTGTATAAGTTAAAATATTTAACTTATTATTAAACATATTCCCTACTGCTATCCCCACACTCACTCCCCACCCCAACACTCCTTTTTGAGGCTGTCAATTAGAACCCGTTGCTGTCCAGTTGGTTAAGAATATTCAGTTAGACAATTGAGTGAATGAAATGTAGGCTAATTGGGCTCATAAATCTCTCAGCTACAAATGTTGACGAAAAAATAAATGGAACAACACTTCTGTTCATTCTTGTTTAATTGAGATGACTGAGGCTCAGTTGAAGAGGTTTTTGGCAGCCTGAAAATAATACTGAGGGAGTACAAGTTAACTTAAGTTGAAGATAAGAAGGAAATGTGGATTCCTTTTTTTCTAGCGAAGATCTTGGCTTCAGAAAGAGCTTATCGAGGTTTTAGATTACCAGACCAATGTTATCACACACATCAATCACATCCTCTGGTAAGAATCCCAAGGTTACTTTGAAAATATGCTAAACTAAAAGCATTTGATAAAAAATAATTATGGATGTCACTAATTCCACTGATAAAGCCAGTTTTGATACATCTTTATGTCAATCTATCTAACTATAATTTTTATGAAAGACAGCCAACATCCACAGGAGGCTATGTCCCTTCATGTTAACTTTTTAAATGACATAAAAAAATAAAAATATTGCGGGGTATTTTGGAAGTGTGATTTTTATGCTCCGTTTTTTTTTTTAAAGCTTAACAAATACTGTTAAATGTCAACCCTTCTATATTAAAGTGTGACTTAGCTAGTTGTATAAAGACATATGAAAAATAACTCCTCAAGATTTTATAGTTGCTTCTCAAATAGCTGCATATCTGTCATCTGCTTCCGCTTAAGCATCTCATAAATCGTATTAATACAACCACAAAATCCACGTGACTTGTCCTGACTTTCCTTTACTCAATGTTTATTCCAGATTAAAGCCACTCCCATATGTTTAGCCAATGTCCAGCTAAAGGGATGATTACAGACAGGGAATCAAGGAATTAGTGGCTTAGCATGTCTGCTGAGACGATGCCTTGGCTGTTGGCAGAAATCTCTTCTCGTGTTGCTCATATTCTATTCTCCTATTCTCAGCATATTTCCAAGTGCTCTCAGCACTCTGCTAAACTGTGCTTTCCACTTTCTGGATTGGATCAAAAGTGGGATTTCTGCATTTTGAATATGGTTATAGCCAGGGATTAAGACTAAACCCAGTCTTATCCAGACCTGAAAAATTAGCTCCTTCTGCTTTTGAAAATGGGGAAACTATGATCATTTGTCCAGAAAGAAAAATTTTTAACCATTTTATTAGTAGTTAGCAAGATAAAAGAAGAATCATTTGGGATTCTCTAGTGTATCCTATAATTCCCCCCCAAATAACAAGACATATCTTTTCTACTGATAACACAAATGCGATTAAATCATTTGATCTCATCTTCTGAATATTATCCATGTTGATAATGTGAAAAGAGGATCAACAGTTCCTAGAAACTCACTTTTTGGGAATCGGCCTTTTGTTGATGTTCTTGATACTTTTAATGAAAATAAGCAGACATTCGTAGTGTTTCACCTTTGAAACAAAGTCCTGAATTATAGATGTACTTGAGAACTGTAATGCTGAAGAACCAACTATCCCCCAAATTAAAAAGAATCACTAAGAAAAACATTAAAGTCAAACCTAGATCCCCATGGAGTAAATGCCAAAAGCATGGCACCATATAATTTCAGTATATGTTAGTCCTGGCTACTCGGCTCCTACTACCGGTAGCAGCTAACATTTCTTGGTGCTTAATGTGTGCAAAGCACTATTGCAAGCGCTTTGCATGGATTTATCTCAGCTTAATCCCCACAGAATGCCACAAGATCAGCACCATGGTTCTACCCATTAACAGACGAGAAAATGGCAGTTTGGGGAGGTTAAATAATTGACTTAACCAGCCACTCTAACTCCATGTCCTGCATGACCCGTAACGCAATATTGCCTCCTCAAGAAGAAGGCTCTTGTGTAATGTTTCTTGTGTGTGGTCCACAGTGGCTTGCACAGAACTTAGTACTGAGCGCTTGACAAAAACATAGTGATGGATGGCACTTACCCTGGAGGGATTCTATAACTACCCTGTAGGCAGTGGCATGACGCTGCACCTGCCACCGAGCACACAAGCTGGTCATTTGAATCTGCTCTGCTTGAAGATTGGTCACACCCAAAAACACTATAATAAAAAAGAAACACAACTACGTCACACTGCACACAATGCCACAAATGTCCTCAAGTCTGAAATTAACATAATAAAATTCTAATTCAGATTTCCATAGCCAGAGATGGGAAATCCATCAACTCACAATAAATTAGTGCACAAAAGATAACTACTTTATGACTTGAAAAAGCAGTGGCAAAACATTACGTATAATATGGTCTGTCTGTTATTTGTAAACAAAAAAAGAAATACATATTCACAGGAAAAAGACCGGATGCAATGAGTGGTGAAACTATGGGTGACTTTTAATCTTCCCTCTTTATTTATTTGTGGTTTCTAAATATTCCACAATTAATATATGATACTTTTATAATAAAAAAATTAAATACAATATGTACTTATCAACTACTGAAAGTCATGGTTTGAAGAAAAGGGAAAAGCAAAGTAGATAAAATGGAAGTCTTACTCAAAGAGGAGCAGTTTCACAAGGACTTGGCCTTCAAAATACAATTGAGTGAAAATGAACAAATTTTTGAAAATTTAAAAATGAAAGATTTAACATAGATAACAAAAAAATCATAAAAAACACATAGATTCCTATTAATCTTGGAACACTGATATACAAAAATGATTAGGTTATTATAATAAAGATTATTTTGGGAAGTAGTAAAAAATATTGTTTCTCCAATACAACAGGAAGTAGGCCTCCGGTGTTTATCATTTAGATCCAGAGAGAAAAAGCAGAAAATTAATAATATTTACTTTCTGTAATGACCTCTGACTTCCATCCATATCATTTGCTCTTACTTCTCCTTCTCTCTTAGCTACCTCAGAAAATTAAAAAATAGCTTAAAATTATTTTTCAAGATGATAAGAATAATCTTGTCTAATCACAATTTACATCTTTACATTGTTCCTTTCTGTTAGATCAGAGAGGGAAGACCTTTTTTTCCTAAGGCCAATTAAACAATCCCTTTTCCCCCCAAAAAAGGAAATCAATAATGATTTATAAAACTATACTAAATTTTAAAAACACCTTAAATTAATTTATTTACCATTGTATGGGGTTTTGTTTTGCCTGAGAGAGAGAAAGAAAATAATAAGCCCATCTAATTTTTACTTGAAGAACAAAATATAAAACAATTCAATACTCTCAACATTTTAAAATATATTTGGAGTACTCAATAGATTTATGAAAGGAGAGAAGAGGGATGGAACAGAAGAAAGAGAGAAGCAGAGAAAGGAGGATAGAAAGACACAAGAAAGGGTAAGGAAAAGAGAGACCAATAAAGAAATCACAGAGACAGAAGAAGTGGCACAGACAGAAAGGGTAATCTCGAGAGGAAAATAAAGATAAACTAGAGAGTGAGAGAGGAGACAGAGGGTGGGAAAATGCACACCTAAGGTGTTCTAAGACTCTAAGGTGTGTCTCAGGAAGGACTGTGGGATTGTTATCATGGCACAGCAGAGGGAAATTACTTGGAGGTTACAGTAGTGCCCAGAACAGCGTCACTTCAACAGCCAAGTATGAGATCAGAACCACAGGCCAAACGCTTCCTAGATCTGTTGAAGACAGAGACTATTTCTTTTGAGATTAAACTGATTCTGTATCTAGCTTTTAAGGTCTCAAGGTATTCCATATAAGAGAATGCAGGAAGCCTCCTCTAATAAATGGGCTGGCCCTGTACAAAATATAGGTGGCCAAATATAGCTGGCTCGGGGTCTGGTTTAGTATTTGCCCCAATTTTGCATAATTCCACTTATCAGATTAATTATTTGACTAGATATGAGAGTGAGATATGAGCCAAGTTCATGAAGCACGCTTATTACAATAATCATAGTGGTTATTCCTCAAGTGATTGCCATACGTAGATGCTTTTTATACATTATCTCTTTAATCTTCACAATCAGCCTGTAAATGGTTATTATTATCTTCATTTCAGAGTTGAGAAAAAACTTGAGCTCAGAGAAGTAATTTGCTCAAGGCCATAGCTAATAAGTAGCAGATTTAAGGCTTATGCTTTTGATGACACCATGACGATCATTCTCAAGCATGGGGCGTGTACTGTTGATGGCACTCAGGGTGATTTTAATTAGCACACAGCCAAACCATTTTTATTTTGGTCATTTATGTATTATCTTTAACATGTAATAAAAATACTGGTCTTCTGTTTAGAGTAACTATGTGAGTTTTGAAAAGTATTTAAGTGAAAAAAACCCTATAAGTCGATTTAAAGAAATACATTAAACAGATGGTGTGGAAGAATAACAAACATCAGGAGTATGAAACATACATGCTGGAGTTTGGACAACATTGCATTATGTCATGGGTGTCTGGGAGTGGCATATGCCAAGGAGAAGGCCCAGATGGGGTGCAGACACCATGAAAATCCTTAAAAGGTAGAGGAGAAAGTCCTTAGAGTGGTGAATGTATCCTTTGTGGATGGCAAGTGTGTGTGTGTGTGTGTGTGTTTGTATGTGTGAGAGAGAGTGTGTGTGTGGAATGGGGAGGGGCAAAGGCTTTGAGAAAAGGTAAACTTCCCCCTGGTCCAACTTTGACTGGCCTTGGCTGTGTCCGGCGACCTACAGGCTGGTTGGAAAATTGCACCTAATTTGAAAAATACCAACAAAGACTTTCCAGAAGGAAATCCTATCTGCCACCATCAAGTATATTTGAATGCCAGGCCGACATTCCGCCTGCCAACCAGGACTCAGAAGGAAAACCCCGAGTAAGGAGCACACCTTTCTTTCCACGAAACACCATCCAGAAAGAGAAACGCTGAAGGAAAGAGAAACCAACCAGCAAGCTGAAGCGGGGGTTGAGTTACAGCGAAAACAAAGCAGCAAAACCACGTGTGGGGGCTGAGGCGACAGGACATCAGTCTTACATGTTTTCACCACGCCTGTCAGAGCGTCGCTGAAGCCTGAGGCCTGGGAGGCAAATATTTTCACGTTGTAGTCCATTCCACTGAGGAGGTTCGTGATAAGAATGGTATTAATGTTAGCGCCCACAAAAGTTTCCAGTGTTGGGCCAGCCACTAGAGGAGAAAAAGTATATTTCAGTTACAACAGAATATGGCAACATGGAAACAACACTCCTGAGGTGAATTGTACTTATTCAACTGGTTTTCAGCTGGCCAGGATTATATAGAAGGCAACAGCAGAGCCGGGGTTTGAATCGAGCCCCATCTAGCTAAGGCTTCCAAACCTGACTGCCATGCTAGGGATCTTTTTAGAAATCTATTTCTTTTCTCACATGTAGTTCTTTCCCTAGTGTTTACTCAAACAGGCTGGTCCGCCTCACAACCCACCATCCACCATATTGTGAGGCCCTCCCAGTGGAGCTGCCACGTTGCCATAGGCTTTGCGGCACTTGTCAAAATGAAGAAATCATTCCCAATTTCCCTTCTCAGACCCAGCTTTGTCCCCAGCAGGCACGCAAGTAGCAATGGCAGCAAATTTTATCATAGACACCATGCCATACCTTGCCACATGGGGGACCAGCATATATGTTACCATTATTAGTTCTATTCACTCCTCTTACGATTTTTAAGACCAACACATGACGCTCTTATTCCAAAGCCTTTGACCAAGCTGGCTTCTTCTTTTTTTTTTTTTAATTTTATTTATTTATTTTTTCCCCCAAAGCCCCAGTAGATAGTTGTATGTCATAGATGCACATCCTTCTAGTTGCTGTATGTGGGACGAGGCCTCAGCATGGCTGGAGAGGCGGTGAGTCGGTGCGCGCCCAGGGTCCGAACCCCGGGCCGCCAGTAGCGGAGCATGCGCACTTCACCGCTAAGCCATGGGGCCGGCCCCAAGCTGGCTTCTTTAGGCCTTTACATTTTCAACTCTGTTTCAACCCACTGGAGTCTTTGATTTAGCATTAAAAACATTCCTCGCTAAATCCTATACAAATTTATTCACTTTTTGCCTCTTCTCATATGTGCTCATTCTTTAAGAGCTTTGAGTTAGTGACAAGTTCTCAAAATACTCATTACTTTACTCCAGACCCCACTTCCAACAATAGATTTATATATATTTACATATTTCTGTATGTATGTGTTATCTCTGTAGCGATTTTCCCGTGCCCCAAACTCTTAATGCAAATAACCACATAAAATTCTTCCACTTGACCTAGAACAGGATTTCTCAACCTCAGCACTGTTGACATTTTGGGCTGGATAATTCTTTATTATGGAGTTGTTGGGTGGGGGGGAGTACTGTGACTTACAGGATGCTTAACAATACCTGCTAGATGCCAACAGCAACTCCCTACCTCCCAAGTTGTGACAATCAAAAATATCTCTGTTGGGCAGCAAAATTGCACCAATTGAGAACCACAGGCTTAAAACAAAGCTATTTCCCTCAGAAAATCTGATAAGTATTTATAAAATGGTCGAAAGAACAAATTTAGCAAGGTTGTTATGTGATTTAACACGTCTCAGGCCGAAAGAAAAGAAACAAACACATTGGTGCTGGATCTCAAGGAATCAGTCTCGAGCAGGCTAGTGCATCCATGGTATATTCTTGCTATTTAATTTTCATGAGTCATAGAGATGTTTATCTGGAGAAATTGGGGGTGGGGTATTTTAGTTATATGGACCTGGAAAATGGACACAACAGAAAAGGCTGAACAGCGTTACAGATGCAAGAGCAACATCTCAGATGACAAACTGAGACTAACAACGTTTGTGAGAGCAGAAAGAATTTTTTAATGGCCCAAATAATGTTTTTTAAATTTCCTGCCAAATGAAGAAAAATAATTGGAGAACCTCTTTTTGGCTGAACAACTAGAGTACTGAAGGTCCAGGTCCAGAAAACCAAAAAGACCCTTGTAATACATATTTTTAGTCTCCTGTTTAAACTTCACAAAAATGTTAAGTGTCGGGAGATGATACTGTAACAGGTGAAGGGGCACACGGTCTCATCTCAAGGCATATGGACCAAGGGTACAATCACCCATATTTGGGTCATTCTCCTGCCTTCAGGACATAATACCCTGGGAGGCAAGGAGAGAGGGGTCTTTTATCAAGGTGGCTAAGAGGCTGATGGAAAAGCCTTTTCCTACCACATTCTTTAGGTCTGATGAATTTTATACCCCAAAGTAGTTTCCAAAAGGAGGAGACTGATAAGTTGGTAAATGGACTTTTTCCAACTAATCCAAGAAGTAAGGGGTAGAAGAGGTCGATTCTGAATATTTAGAGCTATACATATCCATTGAGCCATTGAAGCTTCCCATTTCTATGGAATCAAAGTTTCCTTGGGCTGGTTCCTTGTCTAGGGTGTGCATAGGTCAGGTGTATACCAAGTATATATTCTGCTTATTAATGTGCCCAGTCTTTTTCTAGGTAGGATCATGACTTCATCTTTCTGACAATATCTACCCAAACACTGCACATGCTAGAAAAGCTTTTTTTTTCAAAACAGGTAAGAGGCTCTTCCCACTACTTAAAACTAGAGATACAACCAAAAATAGAAAGTCAAAACAAAAATAACTTAGAAGACATTTTAGGTGTCTAGTTACAGTAACAATATTTTTAAAAAAGCATTACTTACCACTAACAGGTTTGTAGACGATCCTATAGCCCTTTACAGGGGAAGATGGGGGGTCCCATGTAATGCGCAACCTGTTGTACCATTCTTCTGAGACCTGTAAGTTTTGGGGACTGGAGGGTGGCACTGAGCAGGAAAGAAAAGGAAAAACAGGGGTTCAGTGTGGTTTTGATCTTTACCACCTGCACTGTTGTTAACAAAATCTAAATTATCTTCCCACCTTCTTCTTCACCTTCTTCCCAAAGGTGAGAAGCCTTTGAGAAACTGTGGTTGTTTTAAATACTAAATATATAGAAAATAATCGCTCTGAAGATCTGAAGTTCATTCAATGTCATTTTGGTTCCCTTTTCTTCATTTAATTTTAAGTGAAACTGAAGTGAATAGTGTTTATTAAAAATTTCTGTCTACATGCCACTCTGTTCCATTATCCAAGTATGTGTGTACAGCAATATCACGGGTGACGTTCACACAATGGTAATGATGGTAATTCTCAGAGGTAAGATTCTGACGATTTTTTTTTTTTTTTGGTGAGGAAGATTAGCCCTGAGCTAACCTCCGTTGCCAATCCTCCTCTTTTTCCCAAGGAAGAGTGGCCCTGAGCCAACATATGTGCCCATCTTCCTCTATTTTATATGTGGGATGCCTGCCATAGCATGGGTTGATAAGTGTTGCATAGGTCCGCGCCTGGGATCCGAACCTGCAAACCCTGGGCCACTGAAGCAGAGTGTGCCAGATTTAACCACTATACCACAAAGCCAGCCCCTGATGACATTTTTTTTTTTGCTTTCATCTTCATATTGCTTATATTGTTTGAAATTTTATATTATCATTTATCAATTTTTTATCCAAACATTAAAGCCATTTATATGGAGGAAACTTGTAAACTATTGTGCATATTGACAGATATTATCATTATCATTTTGTTGTTGATAGAATTTAATGGATGGTCTAAAATACGTAGACCAGCCACTAACACTTTGAAACTATTTTACTATATAGATATTGTTACATGGAATGGTATTTCTGTAATGAGATTTAAGTCATATTTCTATAGTAACAGTCTAAATAGTTTTGATTTGTGTGAGTTCATTGAAGAATGATGTGTGTTCATCATAGAACACTTTTACAAATTATGCTAATTTTTAACATAGGAAAGTTAAAAATAGATCTGCAAGGCAAGGTGACTGGCAATTAGATGGAGCCCTTCACTTTCTTACCTCCTTTCTCCCCTCCTCTTCCTCCCCACAGTGGCAGGGCTGTGGTAATTTTGCGGAACAATCAAGTGTTAAATAATACAGTCCAACGCCATCTCAGAACAGCAGAATTTACTGTGCTTTTTGTTTTTTTGGTGAGGAAGATTAGCCCTGAGCTAACATCTATTGCCAATCCTCCTCTTTTTGCTGAGGAAGATTGGCCCTGGGCTAACATCCATGCCCGTCTTCCTCTACTTTATATGGGACGCTGCCACAGCATGGCATGATGAGCGGTGCATAGGTCTGTACCTGGGATCCGAACCTGCAAACCCTGGGCCACCAAAGCGAAGCCTGCGAACTTAACCACTACACCACCAGGCCGGCCCCATTACTATGCTTATTTTAAACCATTCTTGCCGCTTTTTTTTTTTTTTTAACAACCTGGATTTAAGACAGACAAGGATGATGTATTTAAAAACACATAGTAGGTGCTCCATAAACGTTAGGCGAATACTACTTAATTTTCTTCTTTAATTGCTGTGGTTTTCATACATTTATTTAGTAGCAAAATACCAAAATATGCTAGAAATTCCAGTGTGTAGATCAAATCAAGATGAAGTCAAGACGCCGATGTGCGGGTAGTGAAGAACTTAGAGCTCTCCCACCGCTCCCCTCTCCTCTTTGCTTCTTTCCTCCCACAGGACCCCGAGGAAGTAACTGTAGAGACCCTTAGGGGTGATAATACTCTGGGTGATCTTTGGCAAAATGTGCAGACTCTGGGTGCAGGCATCGTAGCATGGGCACGGGAGGAGGAGCGATGCCAGCACTGTGGAATGAGAGATAATATCCATTCGGTCAGCTGAATCAGGGCTTTGGGCTGCAGCTACAGAATTTTAATGACTTGCACACTTACTTGAAAAATCCATCCTTAGGTGGCCAGGTACAGAAGTCAGCCTTTGCCACCATTCTACACCTAATCACACACAACCATTGGGTAGCTGTGGTAGATTAAAGATGGGCACAGGTTTTTTGACCCTCCTCCCATTGAGTGGTGGAGGCTATGACCCTGTCTTTAATCTGGGTGGGTTCTACGACCACCTTGACCAATAAAATAGACCATGCCAGAAGTGATACTGTACTATTTTCAAGTACAGGCCTTAACTGTGCTGACAGTGTCCACTTTTTGCCTCTTAAAACTCTTGCTCTTATAGTCCTGAGTCCTCATAGAATAACTACGACTATCCTGCTGCAGAGGCTCTGAGACCTCAGAGAGACCTGGAGACCTGGAGAGAGAGAGGCTCAGCTGAGTCCAGCCTTCCAGGCTCCCCACCAACATATCAGGCATGTGGGTAAAGTTGTCGTGGACCCTCCAGAACAACCCAGCCACCAGGTGACCATAATCAATACTTTGTGAGACAGAAGGATTTCCCAGCAAGCCTTGCCTAATTTCTTGACCCACAAAATTGTGTGATATAATAAAATGGTTGCTGTTTTAAGCCACTAGGTTCTGGGGTAGTCTTCACGCAAGCATAGACAATCACAACAGTATTGAAGACAACTAAGGCTCTGTAGTGCTTTGACCAAGGGTTTTCACGCATTCTCCTCACTCGATCATCATGGCCAATTCATCGAAAACATTTTGCGAGGCCTCCTCTGTGCCATGCAGTGCTGTGGGAGCTTGGCATGCAGAGGTGAACAGCCCAGATGAGGTCCCAGGCTCTCACGATGCTACTCTCCAGAGATAGGAGACAGACAATGTACAAATACACGAGTAAACAAGAAAATATCAGATAGTAAATTGTGCCAGGACATGATCAAAAAAAGGTTAATATCATAGAAAGTGGGAGCCACTTTGCATGGATGGTCAGAAAAGCGTGAGGAGGTGGCGTGACATTCAGCTGAGACCAAAATACCAAGAAAAAGCCAGAAATGCAAATATCTGGGAAAGGAAATTCCCTACGGAAGGAATAGCTTGTGCACAGTCCTAAGGCAGGAGCAAGCTTCAAAAGTCAATGAAGACAGGAAAGGAGGTATAGCTGGGGGAACTGTTAGGAGGTGAGATCAAAGAGATCGGCAGGGTCCGGGTCACATAAGGCCTCGTAGGGCCGTGGGAAGGACATTGGGTTTTATCCTGAGTACAATGGGAAGCCACTGGGAGGCGTGAAACAGAGGCGTGACATGAGATAATTTATATCTGGAAAAGCTCCTCAGGCCACTGTGAGGAGAATAAAGGATCCAAGAGCGAAAGCAGGAAGACTCACTAGGAGGCTTGTGCGCTCATTTTAGTGTGAGAGAGTGTGGCTTGGATTGGGCTGGAGCAGTTGGATGATGAGAAAGTGAACAGGCATGTAGAATGCATTTTGGAGAATCAACAGGACTTGTGATGAATGAGATGCTGGAGGAGTAAGATGTAGTTGTTGTTTAAGTCTTAGCATTTACAGCAAGAAAACTGAAGCCCAGAGCAGTTCAGCAACTTGCCCAAAGTCACACAGCTTGAATGTGTGAAGACAGAACTCAAACACAGATTTTCTGTGTCCAAATCTCTTTTGCTCTTTTCACCACACTACACTGTGGCTATCAGGGTACATTACAGAGCATTAGCATTTTCAGTTAATTAGTCAGTCAGTATCCACAGGGAGAAAGCTTCACTCACAGGTTTTTCCAGGCGCAGAGACACTAACACCTTCTCCGTCATCGTAAATGGGAGTCACCGTGACTTTGTATTCAGTATTGGAAAGCAGGCTCTTCAGAAGGAGATCGTTCTGGCTTCCAGGCACCATAACCTAAACAGAAAAGCAAAGGACCCTGGTCTTAGAAAGACCTCTGTTCCCGTTGGTCCACTAATGGAGCAGGACTGTAGGCACTCTGAAGTAATCAGAAGCAAGGAGATGTGCTTGGAGAGTGAGGGGAAAAAAAGGCATTCATGCAAAAATATTTCTCTCTGAAATTCCCTTCAGCCACCCTTAATTTATAATCACTAATGCAGAAGGTTTAAATTCGAAGCTCTTAGGCTCTGAGGAATGGTCTTCTCTCAACATCTTTTCAGCATTTGGAAAGTCTCCAGAAGTAAGAATAGCCATCTATTTGGAAAGCAGGTGTTTATAGCTTACAAGTGTTCATTCTATAACCCAGCCTGCTTACCATTTTTGATTCTACTTAAATGTCCTCTTGAAAATGCAGCCTTCCGTTCTTTGCCCTTTCAGAGATAAATCTAATCCCAGCATTTTAGAAAAGGAGGGATGCCAGCCAAGAACAACAGAACCACACATTAAATCCAAGTTTTCCAGATTGAAACATATTTGCCATTAATACTAAAAAATGTTGCAGCTTTTTTACTTCTGAAAGGAGATGTCTTCTTCAATCTGAAATCACCATCGCCCTGTTTCTAAAGGCTGCAAGAAATGAAATGCAGCGGTGGGGTTGACCCCACACAAGCATCAGTGCCATGTGACCTGTGGCTCAATAGTGCAAATTCTGGCATCCCTAAAAGAATACATGGACCAGAAAAGCCATGTGTTCTCAATGCTAAAACCACAGAACTTTCTGCCTGCGCTCAAGCAGTTAGATGCTGGCACATCTCTGGGCCATTTAAGGAACTTAATCACGGCTGGAAAAATGCTAGGATGTAAGAATTGACCCAAATAGGTTTGAGGGAGTCATAAGACCAGGACAGCTGGAGATGCTTTTTGATTCAAAGGCCGGGTAAAATGCCAGCAGGCAAAGGGCTGTGCTGTCTACTTCTGGATGAGGGAAGGAACCTATAAATCATGGAATAAGCCCTAGAAAGCCTCAACTTGAACCCAGAAGCAACTGTTGCTAAGATATTACTAAGCTCTAAAAGCAATATTTTTTTTTTTAATATATGAAAAACAAGGAGTCTGAATTAAGTGTTTATATATTGGATTAATATGATTTTGTTCCTCATATGAAAGGGACATTGAAATATACAAGGTTGTATTGATGTGGTCCTGGGACGGAGATTTTTTAAAAGGAGCTCTGCTTTATTCTAGAATGAGTTAGATAACCCTGGCATTAAGGACATGTAAAGGAAGAATTGTGGTTGCTCTGACTTGTGTTACCCCATCAATGTAGCTTCCTTCAGGGCATTTCTTTAAATATAACTCCTCTGGAGCACAGAGCCTGGGCATTCATTCCAAGCTGTCTGTTTAGCAAACCACCCATGTTGATATTCCTTAAATAAGGTCATCTCTCAAACTGAGAAATGCATGGCCTTGGAACCAATCAAATTTAGCCTGTGGAATACTGAATAGCAATGGGGCCATTTTGGAGGACTCATTTAGCTTGCCAGGAAGTAGTTGCTGCGGTTTATGATAACAGCCATCATTTACCTAGCAATTAGTATGTGCCAGGTGCTTCCCCAGTTTCTAATATAGTAATTCATTTAATTTTCACCACAACTCTTTGAGGTAAGGATATCATTACACTCATTTTACAGATGGAGAAACTGAGGCCCACACAGCCATTGAGTAAAGGAGCCATACTGAAATCCTGGCTATCTGGCCTGAGCCTCTCTTTAACCACTGTCCTGTACGCCGCAGAATGGCACCACCTGGATCTCTTTACCCTAATGATATTCATTCCCAAGAATCAAATGTAAATCTCCTCTGGGGTATGCAAAGTTCTTCCACTTGGCCTCTGCTTGTTTGCACAAAGCAAGGTAAAGATGGGCTCCTACTAAAAACAGATGCTACAGGTGGTAGCAGACGGTGGTTTTGTTTATAAAACAACTCTATAAAAGATGCTTATGGTTAAATGAGATGCAGATCTAACCAGTGAGTTTCATGTTTTTAATTTTTTCAGAAACGCGTCTTTATGTCTGGCTCCATATTGCCCAAAGCTCTTCAGAACAGCCTGGATCCTATCCAGCAAGCTGTTCCCTCAATAGAAAGAGGATTCCCTGCATTTCACTGTGTTCTCGTCTTACAAAGTTCTGTTTCTACAGAGATTCTCATGCTATCTGTGGTGAAGGACTAGGTGGTGTTGGTGCTGTTGTTTTAATTCCAATCCATTGAAGATCAATATTTTTAAAAAATATAATAAAACAAAATTACTAGAAAAAACTAGCATGTTCTTTGATGTTGCAGCAATGTACCTTGCTATAAATGTTTCTAAAAGCTTAATCTTTATATCTGACCTTACTTTGTAGGAGACTGAGCCACACTTTAAGTATCTCTACTCTAGAAAATTTCCTGCAACTTGGAATTCAGGTGATGGTTATGGATTTTGACATCTAGGCTTTAGAAAAGTCTGAAATCCCGATCAACCTTTCACAAATAAAGAAGTGTGAGACCTCCCTATCCTGACAGCAAAATCCAGGGCAATGTCGTTGTCACTCCTCCATATTTCAGAGCAGAGTTGAAAGTCAATCCTTATGAAATATTTGACAGGTGGTTTTCCTTTCTAAGAGTTCAAAGGATTTTTATTGGAAATCTTTGGTTGATTTGATTATGCCTAGAAAATATATAATTATTTCTCTTATCTCAATTGGAAAAGAAAATTTAATTCCCCTTGTTTTACATATATGAAAGCTTAACTTTGGTTTACAATCTTATAATACATACACTATTCTCCAACTTCTCATCTCCTCATGTAAATTTAATCAGTTTTTATAGGTAAGGAAAATTAGGAAAGATGGTAAGAGGCATTTCTCTTATCTGGACACTTTTCCTTTCCCACTTTTGTAATATGTTTCAGCCATCTGTCTTTCTCTGCTATGCATCATTATTTTAAGATACTCATTTGGTGTTTGGAAGTTCAAGATCCTTGGATTTTGATATAGGTCTACAACCTCCTGTCCTACCTTGGTTTTATAATCTAAATTGAGATGCACCCCACTTTCTGTCTCTAATAATAATACACTACATTTATGTAGCAGTAATACTTCATAAAACACTGAGCTATAAATTCTCAATCAATCCTCAGTTGAAAACATGCCTGTAAATTGTGTGCACAAATCCAACTTTAATTGGAATTCACTAATGGAGCCTGATATTTAAAGAATTCTACAGTACTTTGTTCTGGATAGTAAAAACACTTCTGCATGGTAAATAATCACCACCAAATTTGTCAATATTTTTCATTTTTATTAACGGTTTATTTAACTGGGGCACATGTGTGTTTAAGACTTTTGATCTTTTTTCCCTTCATCTAGGTGTCCAAGTGTTTCAAAATAAACAGTGTGAAATGAAAGAAACTAGCAAGGGGAAAATTGTCTAGAGACAACCCAAAGTAAATATTATTATTATTTTACCTTGCATAGTGTACAAGTGCATGCATGAGATTAAATTGTTACTCTTTCCAAATTTGCAGGAATAATTTAGCAAGAAGTTGAATGTGTTTCTTGGAAAGAGGAGAAACAAAAACCAAAGAATAAAACTCTCCTTCTGGTAGGTTTTAAGGGTCTCATTTTTAGGAACTAAATTAAAATACGAGGACAATAACAGGGAAAATAAGGCATTCAAATTATATCTTTAGTTAGCATTCCTAAGCACAATTTTAATCTTTTTGAATTTTCCAATCATGGATCACTTGAAATGTATGGTCTGAGTGAATTTATAGTTCAATCTATTTTGTTTAAGTGTCCATCAACTTTCTAAAACTACTCCCAGACCAATTTCATGGACCTTCTGGCTACTCACAGTGGGCATGGCTATCCTCAGGGTTATCATTGTGTTCTGTAACAATTCCTCTATCAGCCTGAAATAAAGTACTTTCCCCAGAGAATTTTGGGCTCAAATAATTGTTTACATAAGCACATAAATAAAAATAATTTTCCATCAAAAGCTCTATAAGTAAGGAAGAGGAAGAAAGGATAATAAATGTTATTCTTGAGCAATAACGAATTTGGAGACTTCTCTCATCGAGTATCTCAAAAACAATGCAGCAGACAAGAAATGCAAGTAATGAGGCTAAATAAAGCATATTCCATGACTAAAAAAAAAAAAATTTCTTTTGGCTGGAGTTATCTGGAGTTATCTGGTCCGGTGGGAAGCATGTCTAGGGAATAATTTTCAGGTTCTAGACTAAAAGAAATGATAAAGTATAAATTAAGAAAACATGGGAAGGCCATGATTAAGAATGTACCCAGATTTCCAATATAGAAAAACACAGATGAAACAAATTAAAGAAAACCCAACATATAAAAACCTAAATCCCCTAAGGGAGACACTCACGATTAAGGATAAATTAGAAATGACTATAAATCTGCTCAAAATGAGTTGATGTCAGTGAAAACTATACCTATTTGTTAATGGATGGCACTTTATTACGAACAATTCAACTACATAAAGAAGACCTTTCATGTATGCTTTGCTTAAAAATGTTTAATCAGATTCCTAAGGGCAAAAAATTTAATATATATAAATTAAAAAGTTCATATATCAAAATTTTATATATATATACGTATATATATATACAGAGACAAGTGTATAACAGACTATTTATGACCAAACCTTGGTGCTTTAACAAGTTGTCAAGGCAGGAGAGGAACATGGGAAACAAGGTTCAGAAGCTTTATCAATTTGAAGCAGGTTGTACGTGGAGAAAGTTCCTGAGACAGAAAGGTCACAGAGAAACCAGCAGTTAGTTTGAATTAAGCAAAAACATTAGTTTCTGGAGATCACCAAGAAATGATTAGTTTCTGGAGTCACCAAGAAATGAGCAGTCAAGCTTGCATTAATCTAGAGATAGCCTCGTTAGCTCTGTCAGTCAGGAAACTCCGTGGAGTTTCTGGTGAGCTATGTGTATACAGACCATTCCTACCACTTCTTCCGCAGGGTCCCCTTGAACAGTCAGGTAGGTCACCCTGAACTGCTGCACACTGCTGTCTGAAATGTCCCATTTGACCCGCAGGCTAGAAGTGGTTTCGTCATCTACAACCAGGTTTCTGATTCCTGTCCGGAAAACTGGAATAAACACAACCAAGGATTAAAGAACATTTAACCCACCATATTCCAAAATGAGACCATTTGTGGACAGGGCAACAAGTATCATTTAATGTATTTCTCTAGTGTAGACCCACGTGAAGCAAGAACAACTCAGCTTTAGTGGTTAAGGCGGGGGCCATGATACTTACAGGTAACAAACAAAAATAGGTTTCAGAGATGCTTACAAGGTGAGATCGTGGACACCTTAAAACTATCAGCTCTGTATATACGCTGGTAAGAGGAACTGGGGAGAAGCCCTTGAACTAGGAAACCCGAAGGGGAGCCCAAATGATCATGAGAACTTCACATAGCCCTGAGTTGGAGAAGTGGACATGATGGGCTGGATGTCGTAAGCTTCAGTGCGCAATCCAGCATCCAACACACTTCCCACTCACCTGCTCCTCCATTTCTGTTTTAACCCTTGTCACTCAAAGCACACATCTCTCCCCATGGGTGCCTCTATACATCAGCCCACACAGATATTATCCTTCCTCTGATATCTGTCCAATCCTTCACTGGTGTTCTCTGGCACATTCCTTCTCATCTCACAAGGTACCTACTCCCTCATTTGTCCCATTTTTTTTTCTTCTCCCTTCTGTGCTAACTTCTTTTCATTCTGTCCATCTCCACTGACTCTTTCTTTTTTCATTTATTCATTCATTCAACAAAGATTCATTGCACTTTTCCTGTATGTCAGACTGTGTTAGGCCTTTGAGATATATAGTGATTTACTTTGACAAAAATAATAAAAATGTCACATAGTAGGTAGGAGGGTGACATTCACCAAGCAAAATTGGGGGAGGGTACCAGGCAGTGGGAACAGGAGGCAATTTCTCACCTTCAGGAGTAGGAGTTCCAGATGGCAGGAGGGATAAAGAAAGCATGAAAAATATGGTTGAGGCCAGGAAGGGAAGCAGAACCTAATTAGGAAGGATCTCGAATGCTATGATAAAGAGATTTTGGGGTGCAAAGAAGGGCTTCATAAAGATTAACTGAAAAATGAATGAATCAGTGAATAATGAATGAAAGAATGGGTAATGGAGAGCCACTGGAGGGTTTTAGGTAGCAAAATAAATGACATTGTCAAACTTATGTTTTACCTACTTGACTCCGACAGCTAGTTGGGAGGTGTATTATAATGGAGGGGAAAGTTACTCTGAGAGAGAACACAGCTGATGTAGGAAGAACAATAGACCATCCACGTCTCAGTTACCCACAGAGATGCAAGGAAACAGTAATACGAATAATTCTCAACAGAGAGCAACAGGTGAAGTCATCAAGATGAAGAGGAGGGCAGAGATCTTGGGGGCTGCTATGCTGACATCCTCTGATGAAAACAAAGATGGAAAAGGTAGAGAGAGGTACCAGTGACTAGTAGACTAGAAGACCAATTGGCATTTAGGGATAGGAAGATGTTGGGAGGTTCTGAAAGGAGTAAAATGTGAACTGGCATGCCCTGTTCATAATTAATAATATGAAATAAACAAAACTAGGATAACATAATTTCTGTTTAAATCAAACTTTGCTTATGGGTAAATGGGCTTCGATTTGTCCTTACCTGAAGTCACAGGTCTGGTAGGTGCTATAGTCGTGGCTGGTTCTGTCCAAAAACTGTCAACTAAAAAAATATTCGTTACTTAAAAATTTTGTCACAATAATAATTCTATACATTTGTGTATAGCATTTCATAGTTTTCAAAGAAAATTTCACCTATATTACCTCACTTGCTTCTCACAACAACCTTGACTATGGTCGCAAGACCGAAGAAGTGAGGAGTAATCAGACTTTATATCTATTCCGCAGGTAGGGAAACTGAAACCCAAAGAACCTAAAGTTTCTAATCAGAGATGCCAGACTTCACATAAACATTTGAATTACACCTATAAAATTGTGAAACCTCCCAGTTACTTTGAAATGAGGCATAACCGTGATAATTAAAAGAAATTAAACAGTGCTGTAGATCAAGTCGTGAAAGGGCTGCCAAACAAGACCACCAAGGAAGGCAATACGCTTGCATAAGAAATGCATCTTCCTTTCTTATATCCACCCTAGGCAACCAGTGGAATGGAGCGGCTGTGTGGTGCTCGACCCAGATCCCCTCTTCAGGGTCAACACACTCAGCCACCAGCTTCTAGAATAGTGGCTGCCCATGGCTCAGAGCTCTGGGAATTGCCTTGCCTGAGGTCACAGACTCTGTCAGGGGATGGCCCACCTCCAACGACTGGGGATTAAGGGATACAAAGGCCCAGCCCCTTTGACTCAATTTGGGACACATCAGAAGGGTCATCCCAGGCCCAGAACTCCTAACAGAATTAGCGGAGGGTTCAGTTTTAGCTTCTCCCTCTGCCCCATCCAGCCATCCTTACTTCCTTACAGATCTATTTCCCAACTACACTCTTCAATAAACCTTCTGGATGCAATTTTCTGTCTCAGAATCTGATTCCAGGGAATACAAAGACAATTTAATATATGGTTAATACCTCATATTTAAAAAATGAAGGGATGAATGAATCAGTGAGTGAAGTTTGTACAAGATTCTTGGAATCAAGATCAACTTGGGAAATTCCAGAAACTCTTGGACATGTTAGCCCTAGGTTTATTTGTTTGCTCACTTATTCATTTATAAATTATTTAATCCCTCCATCCATCCATTGATCCATCCATTGATCCATCCATCCACTCAATAGGTATTTACTGTGCAGTTAAAATATGCCAAGTACTGTGCTAAGTGCTGGGGATATAATGGCGAACAAGAAAGATATGGTCCCTGCCTTCATGATGATAATAGCTTAGGATTCTAAAATGCTTCATATACCAGTTTCATTAAAGGTGAAGTTATATAAAGTATTCTGGGGGACAAAGAGAAATTGAAGCCTCTGTAGCTTGAGATAAGGCTGATGGCGAGGGAACTTAGTGGGGTGAAGAGGGTGTCAGAATGGATGGTGGGAGCTCATGAAGTCCATCTTGGCCAGAACAAGACTTACGTGTGGTCCCAACAGCAGTCACCACTTCACTCTCGCTTCCATCATCCAGTACCGCCAACAGTGACACTTCATATTCAGTGCCAGACTCCAGGCCTTCAACAACATATGAGTCTTGGTCTTCTAACAGGACAATCTGAAAAGTATTTGGTGCTTAGTAACTGGGTTTGCTTGAATAATAGAGTAAAAAGAAAGTTAAGAAAAAATAATAAAAATGAAAAATGTTGTCCTGAGTGTAAGCAAGAAGCAACTAAGCATAAAGAACTCCCAGGCTGTTGGAATCAGTTTTAAAGTTAAACCAGAGACTTTATTCCTTTCAACTCCCTTAGCAAATAAAACTGTTGGATAAATGCAAAAGTGGCATTTTGAAGTTTTATTAAATATCACTTCTGAAAGTCAAAGAATTTGAAAATATATCAAATATATAACTAAAGTCCTAGCAACAATGTATTTTAATCTTAGAAAAATCATATGCTTTGACATTTATAAAACTCCATGCCATGCAAAATATCAATTACTTCTGGGATCCTCAATCTATTTTAAAGCGAAGACCAACACAAATGCAGCAGTGCGTATTCACTTCCAGATAAATGCTCTGGATTAACTTTCAGTCTGTTTCAGACAACTCACCTCTTCAGCCCTCCCACCATAGACTGGAATCCACATCAACTTGTGTTGCCCTTCATCAGCTGAAAGGGGATGCCAGGTCACTCTAAAACTATCTGTCGTCACCTCATCAATTTCCAAGTATTGCTGGACTGGAACATCCTCTGTAAGCCAAGGAAGGAGATTTTGTTAGGGATCTGAGAAAGCAAGAACACCAAAACTCAAGCAGCTCCCAGGGCCTGCCAAAGGAAGAGAACACTCTCTGAGGAATTCCTTGCTTGAGGAAAGCAGATGGAAGCCAGAAAGCAGCATTGATCAGTCCAGTATAGCCTTACATCTCTATTTCCAGCATTTACCCACAGCATAAATTAAGAAGACCATGGATACAACAGATTTTTAAATTTTCCAGTAATTTCCAGAACTGTTAGGTTCTCTATTTGGCTCCTTTCATTAACTATAAAAAATAAGAGTGCCATATTCATTATTTTACAAAGATAATATTTTCCAAGTATTTTGAGGAAATTAACAAAATGGTGCCCTAGATGACTGAGAAATGTCCTTTGTAGCTCTATTTGCTTGTATGCCTAGTAATAAGTTAAATCCTAGAGAACAACCTTCATCCTTTTAACTTGTACATATGGCTGCCATCAGAAGTGAAATATAGTTTATCAGATCTTTCACTATTTCATGCCTTACACACTTTTTAGAAATACAACAGAAAGCATAACATCCAACTACACCCAAAACGAATTGTCAGTTCATTGATTTTTATTATTTTAAATCAGAGATTTTAAACTCTTTGACAACACACCATGAGAATTCCAACTAGAGTAAGCCCTCAGGAGATTTTATGAAATTACTGAAATTTTTTCTTGAACATTATTTTTCAATCTAGCTTATTTCTCATTTCTTTCCAAATTACCTTCTCATCTCCTAAATATAGCACTAAATTTGTTTCCAAGTGCAATCAATGACGGGTTTAGAAAGCAAACAATAGAATTGTTGCCACCAAGAGGCAAAAAGTTTTAAATTTATTGAGTGACTACAAGGCATATAGGGAAAAGGAAAATAACGTATTCATGCCCTATTTTAAATTTTGGTATTTAAAATATCCCATATTATTTTATTAATACTTCAGGCTGCATGAAACACATTATTGGCTATAGATTGATGTATTACGTTCAATAGTATGAAACTGTCATTTTTGTAGGTCAAGAACTGTTGATATCAGCAATTTGGGAAGCTCAACTCAACATACACACATATGAATGGAAGAAAGATGTGAAAATTCTACATCGCTAGGACAAAAGAAATGGTATGTGAATAGGAAGAAAATAAGGTATGTACACTTATATTTAACTGAGATCTTTTGAATTTAGATGGTCTTTTTACTCTTTCCTTTGCTTTGATAGAAAATCATTAGCCAGGGCCGGCCCCGTGGCTTAGCGGTTAAGTGCGCGCGCTCCACTGCTGGCGGCCCGGGTTGGGACCCCGGGCGCGCACCGACACACCGCTTCTCTGGCCATGCTGGGGCCGCGTCCCACATACAGCAACTGGAAGGATGTGCAGCTATGACATACAACTATCTACTGGGACTTTGGGGGGAAAAATAAATAAATAAAATTATTAAAAAAAAAAAGAAAATCATTAGCCAGTACACATTCTAGTCAGCCAATTGTTCATTTGTTAATAACATAAAATAAACAAAAATTAAAATATAGTCTCTTGAAAATCACCATGGAAGAAGCTGCTCTGGCTTCTGGTTTCTCTATAGTTTCTCTTGGAAACTTTTCAAACTGTAATAAGACTTACCCGTGGTGAAAATTCCTGTCAGAGGTTCTGACTGCCCTTCATCATAGATGGAGAAGATGGCAACAGCATACTCCGTGAGGGGCGTCAAGCCTTTCAGAGGGAATGTAGTAATAGGATCGACTTCAACCTGCAAAAGAGAGAATTCATAATAGCTGTATCAGATGTTCTCTAAGTACAGGAAACAGAAATCATTTTATTATTGTCTGTAGTTCACTTGGCTGGCAGTAGAGCTATAAATACTGCAAAAATGATTGAACTATTAAATCAGTCAGTTTATATATACACATTTCTAATCTTATACTGTCAAATAGATTACCTAGTAGTTAATTCTCAGGACATCTTTGCAACCAATATTATTTCCATTCATTAAAAATAGAGAGTAAAGCGCAGACAATTTACGATGCTAATATAAATAAATATAACGTTTCCAGCCTGATCTTCTAGGAGAGGCTGGTTTTTGGCTTCACTGCCTGGGCTCTGCTGACTCTGTGATTAAGTATACACAATAACTCCTCTAAGAGTTGCACAGGTGAGCAATCACGCAGGGGAAGAATCAGGGAATAGTCATATTACAGATAAGAGTCAATATTTGAAATATTCCTTTATCTTCCACTTAGAGACATATTTGGGAAAAACATATACCAACCTCTTTAGGGCACATAAGGGATGGAGCCCTGAGGATAAGGGCTGAGGATGTAAGGAAAGGGAAGAATTAGAAAAAGGAACAACAAAGAACGGACCTTGACAAAAGAAACCATAAAGTAAGAGATGAGGGCAGGATTAGAAGACAGAGCTCTGAGCAAAGTCATCCTCAGTGTAAGAAAAAGAATAGACACAGCTTTAGCATTGACAGGGTGGGTGTTGGGCCGCTGAGCTACGTAGCACAGGGGACATATTGTAGACCAAGCAAATGGTGTCCCCACCTGCACACATACATTGTACACACATTGTCTCAATGAATCCTCACCAAATCCCTATAAGGCAAGTACTTATAATGAAGCATGCTAGCTCTGGTGATACTCTAGGGAATTGAAGAAATGTACCTATTTATCTGAGAGCAGACTCTGCCAAAAAAGATCTCATTTAAAATGTTTTCAAGAGACATTTTGGAGCAATATCAATTAAATCCGTTATGAGTAATCTTGATGCTACCTGGGGATAAGAGGAAAGTGACTAAGCTCACTGTATATATTTGTTCACGACAGTCAAAGTAACCTTTACCAAAATATACAATGCGTCACTTTCCTATTTAAAACCTGTATTAGCCATCTATTGCCTTCCAAATCAAAACCAAGCACATTGCAATGACCTCTTAGCCTTGCATAATCTGGAGCACTGCTCCTTTTTTATGCCATACTCCCAATCGCCCGCTGGGCTCCAGCCACACTGACCTTCCATCAGGTCCATGTCTTTCCCACCTCAGGGCCTTTGCACATGCAATTCATTCTGCCTAGGACCCTATTTCCCTAGCTCTTTTCAAAATTAGGCCTTTCTCATCTGTCAAGTCTGTGCTTAAATTTCATCTCCTCAGAGGGGGTTTCTCTTTTCACCTATCTCAGTAGGGTTAATCTTTAACACTGCCCTTGTTTGTTTCCTCCCTAGCACCAATCACAGCCTGAAATTACTTTATTTCCTGAAGTACCTGCTCATTGTTTATCTCCTGCATAGAGTGCAAGGCCCTTGAGGGCCGGATTTTGCTTAGCTTCTTCATCACTGTATGTTGAATTGTATATTTTTTTTGAGTGAATAGAATAATAAATGAAAATTAAGATGGAGGCACCAAAGAGCCTTTTTAAAAGAGATAATAAAGGGTTCACCTAAACTAAGAGCCAATCCAGAAACCAAATACATCTCTAAGGAATCAACTGCGGTTCAAAAAAAGAGTGTGAACCCTGGGGAAAGGAGTTTCCATTTTCACCCTTTGGGAACTCTGAGTCACGCTGTTGGAGAGGGCCAGCTGATGGTAGCCTTTTCCGTCACCCCAGACATGGGAGTGAAGTCATCTTGGAAGTTCTAGCCCAGCCAAGCTCAGATGAGTGTGCGAGTCACCCCAGCTGACACTTCATGGAGCAAAGATGAGCTGTCCCTGCTGAGCCCTGTCCAAGATGCATAACCATGGGTTGTTATTTTAAGCTGAGATGTTGTTCACATAGCAATAGTTAACTGAAAATATATATTATCTTCTTCTGAGTTTGGGCCTGATAATGTTATCAGTCATTCTTAGCGTTTAGTGTTTACTCTGGCCTGGGTACTATCTGCATGCTTTACATGCATTAACTCACTTAATCCTTATACAACCTTGTAGGGTCGCTAATTATTACCCCTACTTTGAAGATGAGAAAATGAAACTCCAAAAAGTTAAGGAAACTTGCTCAAGGGAAAACCAACTAGTATCTAGGACTTAAAAACAAGTGTTTCAGACTCTAAATCCTATGTTCATAAACACGATTTACAGTATGCCTTCATTATTTAAACTCACAGAAAAGACAATTCCATATATAAAATATGAGCTCAAGATATGTTCTTCTTAACTATATTTACATATTGCTTTCCGTTGTTTTGATTGTAACTTCACATTCATTGTCTTATTTAGCCTCCTCCTCCTCCCACCAAACCCTAGGTATTTATAATAACTATTTTACAAACAAGGAACCTGAGGCCCAAAGACCTTAACTTAATTTCCTGGAGCCATAAAACTATTAAATGGAATGGACAGTTAGGCCTTGACTTCTAAGTCTCAAATCTGTGACAAATAGGAATTTTGTGAAGATATCAAACATACACAAAAGTAACTAAAATCAAATTTTCTTAGGTACCCCAAGAGAAAAAAGCATTCATATATATAAACACGGTTTTTCCCCTTTTTATATATATAGACATAAAATATGTATGTTGAAAAGATGTAGTTTATTTATTAAAGCATTTTGATACTGAACAGACCATATTTTATGCATTAATTATTGGTTATTTTATTTCATCAAATGAAAACTTTTAGGTATCATTGATTTTTATGTTATATTACGTTTTAGACTAAGTTCTGGAACTGATTTTGTTGGTAGTACTTTTAAGATATAGAAGAAGAATTTGAGAAAATGATAACAAAGACCACGATCTCATTGTTATGCAACTATTTTTGAGAAGAATTTTTCAGTCTAGCTAGAAGCTTAACTTCAGCCTAATTCTGGGACGAATGAAGAAAGAGGCCTTGATGAGGAACGAGGGACTGGGTCTCCGCGCTGGGCTCTGTTGTTGAGTCATGGCTGCTGGGAACTCAAGTTGCCTCTCAGACCATAAAAGCTGTGGTCTTTCATTTATAAAACTCAAATGGCAGCACTTAATTCTCCGTTTGCACACTTCCCCAAATTCTTTCACAGTACATGCTATTTGAGATGGCTTCTGTCCTTAGTTCGACAAGTCATGATTTGGCAGCACTTTTTATAAGGATCGCAGGAGGTGCTCTCTGTAAAGCTCTCAGAACAGTCTCTGGCTCAGAGTCAACACTCAACATGTGTTAGCTGCCATCATTATCACCACTACTGACAGTTGTTTAAGTACTCTGTCTTCTTTTTCTTCCTTGGTCTCCAAAAAGTTGGAGAGAGGGGTAATGCAGAAAAGATACAGAGGAAGGAAAAGGAAGTAAAGGAGGGAAGACAGGAAGAAGAGGAAATGAAGCAGAGAAATATAAATTGAGTCGAAAGCAATTTACAATCAATTACATGTTACAAACTAGAGAGATTTTAGTTGGGACATTTTAAAGTTCATTCCAGAATGTTTTGAGAATTTCCTAAACATCCAACTGTAGCATCAGCTACAAATAAAAGTTTAAATTAATAGAAGTTAAAGCAAAATATGGTAGGAATACTCACCCTTGAAATCATATATTCCAAGATTAGGTAAAGTAATATTTCTCTTAAAAGACACTTGTCCACAACCTCTAGTCTCAATTGCACAGGTTAAGAATTAAGAAATAAGAACACACACACACACACACACACCCCAGTCAAAATGGAAATGTTACAAAATCCACACACTGTGTATGCATTTTATTTAAATAAAATTTTCTAAGATTTTCATTCATAGATTTTCATCTATTTACTCATTTTAAATTCAGTTTTACCAAATATACTTTTCTAATTTCCTAGCACAAGACGAATTAGAAATAGCAAGTGCCAAAAGCATCCCCAAGATTGAAAAACACTATTAAAAAAAAGCACACATATTTCTCAACAAATATTTTAGTCTGGGGTCCTTCTTTATAAAGGCAAATAATGTAAAATACCAGAAGAGGCCACAACAGCTATAATTTTTTTAAGTAGATGTTCACTAGACCTCTCGTGGTGATCATTTTGCAATGTATGCATATATTGAATCATTATGTTGTACATCTGAAACTAATATAATGTTATATGTCAATTATACCTCAATAAAAAATAATTTTTAATTCTATAGTTATATTTATAAATATTACTTATATATACATATATATGACAGTTTATTTTTGTTTTATGAAAAATTATTACCAAAGGAAGATGCTCTACAGTGAACAAACATTTATTGGTGAATACAGTCGTATTATTTTGGTTGTTCAATGAGTCCACATTTTTAAATTGGTAAGTTACGCATAAAAATAGAAATCCCTCGTCACAAGATCAGAGGTCACAAGATCTGGCAGCCCCCAGCTGGATTTCTATGCAGCAGCAGTATGCAGGAGCCGACCCTGGCTCTGCAGGAGCCTACACTGGCTGCGTCTTGGATGAACACGTAGCCACCCCCCAGCTCATTAGTGCCCACCACACCCTAGCATCCTTGTCACTGCACCGCATTGTTCATCGTCACTTCTCATCAGTCTTGAATTGTCTTACTTTCAGTAGAGAATTTCTTCTACATCCATGTCTTAAAAATGGGAATACGAAATATAGCCTAAGTTAGCCTCATGTTTCAAGAAAAACAGGTGAGAGTGTATTTCTTTGCAGGTGTGACTACTTCTGCACATTTAATGACAATCCTCACTCATTGAAATTACCTGCCTGATCTTCCTACACGGGTGAAATTTGCAACCCTTGGGAAAGTAGTTTATTTATCACTGATAACAAAGAGACACCGAGAGCTCAGTGTTTTTGGTTTCAATCTTTTTACTACTCCAGACTCCTGCCTTCAAAAGCTAAGCATAGTCCAAATGATCCCAGCTTCGTCAAAATTATTTGCCCGCAGAATTTATGAAGATTTAATGAAAGATGTTGAACCATATTTCTGTACTGTCAGTGAATGTGCAGTTTTTGTCCATTCATTACCCAACATCCCATGGGGGGTGCATTTGGCAAAATACTGCTCGGATTTAATTGTAGGAAAAGTTTGTCTCTGCATATGAAAATACTTGCTTTATTTGGTTAGAAAATAGAAATGATGTAATCCAACATATTTCCCTCTTTGCCTTAGCTTCTTGGACCAAGATAAGGCATAAAAATAACTTTGCCATCTATCCTGCTAAAACATATTTCCAAGGAAAGGATTTCTGAAGAGTATTAGTCACTGAGTGCAAGATACTATATCTTCATGGGTTTTGGTAAGTTCTGTTATTTGAAAGTATCTTCTTAGACAAAAGTTGAATTATTCAATTTTCAATTTAAGCTCGTCCAACTAGCGTCTTTCAGATGCCAGTTTACTCAAAAGCAGAGGGGTAAACTGGATAACACTGACATTATTTCTAGGTTACTACTTCCACGAAGATATATACTTCCCCACCCCTGTCCACTGGGGTGGATTGTATTTACCAAAGATGGCCACATCAACATATATCTCCCATCCCACATGCCTCCCACCATAGGCAGGACCTGTGTTCCTCCCCATCTTGAATCTATGCAAGGGCTTGTGATATCTCCCACTAATGCAGTGTGGTGGAGGTGATATTCTGTGACTTTTGATGTTAGGTAACCTTTAGTTACCTAAAGGTCACACAGCTTCCACTTAGCTGTCTCTCTCTGTCTCTTTGGACATGTGTCTGGGGACTCCTGAGCCAACATGTAAAAAGTCCAGCTTCCATAAAGCTGTCACACTGGAGGGATCATGTGAAAAGTCTACTTAGAATACAGAGAGCTGCTCCAGCTCCCAGCTGATCAGTCTTCCCAGACCAGGCATGAGACATGCAAATAAAGAAGCCATTATGATATGTCAACTCCAGCTGCTATCTGGCTACAATCTCATGAGTGACCCCAAGCCAGAACCACATGTCTAAGTCCCAATTCCTGACCCACAGAAATTGCGAGAGAAAATAAATACCTAGTATTGTTTTAAGCCACTATGTTCTGGGATGATTGGTTATGAGGCATAAAAAACTAACACACAACCACGGGAAAAACAGACATCATGTTCCACAGCTTACCTCATTGATTTCAGTCCCATCTGCGTTGTTATATACAATTCGATAGCCACTGATCTTTATTGAAGTAGGGTCCCAGGCTAACCGAGCACTGTTAGAGCCAACATTGGAGATTCTCAGGTTTCTTGGTGGACTTAAGGGCACTTTACAGTAAGTGGAATAGAAAATAATTAAAATTTTAAATAACATGTGCAAAAAAGACAAAAAAACAGCATCTTTGACTTCTAAACTACTTACATATGAAAAATTTCACCCAGAAACTAACTTACGACAAAGAAGATTAGCAAATTAACAAAGAAAAAAGTTTTCCTTGTAGAGAATGGAGAGTAGTAATAAATTATACACGCTTAGAAATAAATAAGATTTAAACAAATTTTCTGTGCCTTTCTTTTCCAATCAATGTTATTATTACAGCCTGATGTAAATAAGAAACCTAATGGATCAAAAACCAGGATATCTGAAATTAAGTCTTAGCTATTCCATTCAACTATCATATGATTCTGGGAAAGTCCGTCTACTTCTCCGCTCCACAATTTCCCATGTGTCAAATGAGGGTGATGCCCATTTGTCATCTCCACTTGGGTATCTATGAGGCATTTCCAACTTAACTTGTCCAAAACTGAACCATTGACTCCTGCCACCTCTCCCAACCTTCTCTCTCAGCCTCTCCCTCTGAGCATTTGGAAACTCCCTTCTTCCCGTTGCTCAAGCCAAATACCTTGGAGTCATCTAAGATTCAGGTTTCTAAACATATGTCACCTTCTCAGTAAGATAATCACCTTTCCATGATCACCTGATATAAAATAATCCGTCTACCTCAATGCTACCTATCTTCCTTCCCTGATTTATTTATTTTTTATTGCACATATATTGGTCTACTGTTTCTCTCCCCCAATATATTGTAATCCCAAAGGATTAGGGAATTTGGTTTAATTTTGTTCTCGGCTTTATCCCCAATATAGCAAATACTCAATAAATATTTGTTGAATCAATATGTAGGAGGCCTGCCCTGGATAAATCCCAGTGGCTTTGTGAGACTAGACAAAAACAAACACTTTGCTCTTGCTTTAAAAATATTTAAAGAGGTGTTGGTATTTCTATAGATCCCTATCAATTCCATAGGTCTTTGCACTTCTTCAAAGACCCCCTTCTGATTCAACAGATTAAAATTCTTCAATAATCTTTGAGTTTCATGAACTTTTACAGGTTTATAGTAAAAACAATTGTTAAGGTTTATTGTGTGCTTTCTATGAATCTGAGACATAACACATGTTATCTCATTAAATCCTTACATTAGACTACAAGGATAGAGTTACAGTTATCCCCCTTATATATAGATCATGAAATTGAGATAATTGGCCAAGGTCACAGTTAGGAGCAAAAGAGCAGTTAGAATTTAACACAGACAATTGATCACTTGATTCAAGAGCCTGTGATATAGCACTGATAAGCCAGCAGAGCAAACACCTAGAAGATAAATAATGACAGTTATCAGCCATAGCTGTGGTGGGGGATCAGAATTGGCCACCCCAAAGTGTGTCTCTTTGGCATGAGGATTATTTTGGGCTAATGATGATTATTACTTTTAAAAACTGCAGACATGGGAAAAGCTCTGAAAAGTAGAATTTACCCTTTGTAAGAGACATTTACATTTGTAAGGGAAATCTCCATCTGTAAAAATATCTCCCTCTCTGTACCAGGAAGAAGGGGGGATAACCTCATCTCTAGAAATTCGTTTCAATGCAGAAGGCAAGGACTTAAATCTGCATAATAACCTTACTCTTGTTTACTGCGCTTTTCTGGTAATCTCCCATAGCTGACTTCCCCCAACCCCAACATCCTCCTTTGTCTTTAGCTGAAGATAGTATTTAAAATGAGAGCCCTGGCCATTTTGGCAAGTTGCTCAGTTTTCCTGAGTCTCTCCCATGTATACATGTTATAAAGCTTTGTTTGATTTTCTCCTGTTATTCTGTCTCATGTCAATTTAATTTGTACCCCAGCCAGAAGGACTCAGAGGGTAGAGGATTTATTTTCCTCCTCTACACCACAAAGCATGATGCTTCCTAACACCAAAGGCCACTTCTTTCATTAATTCAATACATATTGATTATTTGGCAATAAACAGCCTGTAGAACCTAGTGACTGTCTTAATACTTCAGGGGCTGGAGAGAAAGCGTAGGAGAGAGAAAAGCAATATAAGTATTTTAAGTGTTGTGCACACTTAGCTGTAAATTTTTCTGGAGATCAGTTAAATTTGGCAGTATGGTGGAACAATGTCTGGTTTCCTCAGTGCATAAAAATGCCAGTCTCAGGAACATGTACCCAGAACATCATTTTTTATGACCTTTATTTTTTTAAAAAAAAATCAACTACTAATAGCAGGAAAGTGTTACGCATATTTTTTAAAAATATAAAGAAATGAGTATTCTGAGTGAAAGAGAGATGGGCAGTTGGAAAAGGTTTTTCTTCCAAACTGACAGAGTCCCAAAATTCACTTAAGTCAAGTGATATATTAGATGCTTTCTGGCGTGATTCATTTCTTTTCTGTCTTGGGCTCTCCCAGTTTTTTGTTTGTTTTTTTTTAATTACATTGGTCTTTGAAGACCAAGAACAACATAGCCTTGACTAACAAAGCCTGGATGTGGGAGAAAACTTCTTTACTTATCATTAAATTTCTATGAATGTTTCCCAAGTAGAATCTACAGAAATTGTGCTATTCACCTCTTCCCAAGGCTCGGAGTGATGCACAAGACCCCAAGTCTCCCTGCGCTTTCTTATGTTTCAAAACACCGTGAATAGAGTCATATTTTTAAGAGTAGGTGGCAAAGCACTGTTAGTATGCCAGGGTAGCATTTTGTTTATATCGTATTTTCAAATAAAATAGATAATTACATACATCTCCTAAAAATATTATAAATTTTCAACATTTAGGCAAAATTAGACTTGCCAATAAAATTTCTACTCAATTTTTAAAAGCTAACTATAATAATGATAGTCTGAGATAAGGAGGACAGCAAAAATTTATAGGAAAAAGCGGTCATTTTGATGAGAGTGGGGGAGAAAAGAAATATTGGGTATCGATGTGCCAAGTGCTTTCATCTGTATGCCTACATTCATCTTCTATCAAGGTGCTGTAAGATCATTCTTCCTCCCTCTACAGATTCAAAACCATTACATGACTTGCCCATTGTCACCCAGTTACAATATGACTTGAGCTGGGATTCCCATCTTGGCTGCTCTGATTCCAAAGCTCGTGTTCTTTCCCCTGCATTCTGATCTAGCATTTGGATTTAGACAAAGGCACTGGTGGCATCAACTAGAAGATGCTAAAGTTCAGTTCTAGCATCGATACGACTCATAATAATAAGACTAGAAGAAATACGTTTCCTCCCCCTAAATAAAATACACACTGTCTTAAGTTACGATTAGCCCCTAAGAGGTTTCAACCTAAACCAGTATTTCCAATTCAGAATCCCAACGTTTATTTGGGCTTTTATTACAGTATTTCGTCTGAAGGACTGAACTGCTCACATGTTGTTTCTTGTCCTGTAACGGGATCACTGGCCTCTTCTCCAAACATAGCATAAACTGTAACTGTGTATTCCGTATTGGGCAACAACCCACTCAACTCAATATCTGTGTGGGTGTCTCCAATTCTCATCTGAAAAGAACACATGGTATCAGATCGTTTGCCAATGTGTATTATCCATGTTGATTAGAATGGAACTGAATAAAGGTGAGACTTCACGTAATAAGACCTTGTCCCCTCACAACCCCTTCATCAAACAGGCTTCGGTCATCATTTTTACATTGCTTCTTGTCATCGTATATTAGAAACAGATGCTATGGAACCATACAAAACTGAATGTACCCGTGCGTGCCGTTTTAGGATAACTCTTTACATGTGGATAAGTGGCAACTGCAGCCAGAATAACAGTGTCAAATATTTGGTTCCCAGAAGAGTGTGGGAGGAATTGAATCAGAAATGTTCTCTCTAAAGAGTGTAAGCTCCAGGCCAGTGTGTTGGAGGCCGGGCCAAATGGGCATCTGTCACCAGTTGGCTAATTCTAACTAGTCTCTTGGCTGGATGCCCAGTTTTTGTTTCAAATATGACTGAGCTGGACCAGTTTTACTGCCCCATTCTACAAAGGGACCAGTCCACTTGGATTGCAAGTCGCTTCCGGGATTCAGAAGAGATCAACCCACCTTCACACTCAACTTGGCAATTTGCTTTTGATTCTAGAATGAGTTTTCTGACCCTTGGAGTTAGTCAAACCAGCCAACATTCTCAGTTATGTGACAACTGCGTGACAAGATGGTTTTATTTTGTTTTGGAATGAAGAAAAATATCTCCATAGACAGTCTTCAGTCACACAACTGCCAGTGTTATTGACACAACATTTTTAATTTTGAAATATTTCATTATACATAATATAAATATAGAGAAAATAATATAATGCACCCTGATGTACCACCAGTCGAGTTTAATAAATATCAACATTTTGTCATATTGACTTCAACTGATATATTCAGATAAAAAAGAAGTTCTTTCTCATTCTTTCTATTTACCACTTCTCCTCTAAGGTTGAGGTGTATCTTACTGATCCATTTTTTTTACTTCCGCTTACATATGTGTATATCTGTAAATAATTCACGGTTCTGTATGTTTAACGATGTACATAAATTGGACCATATCAACATGATATTTTTACAATTATTTTCTCTGTCAATATTATGCTTCAAAACTTATCCATGTCAATACACAGGGACAGAGTTGACATTATTTAATTCCTTTATGGTATTCTTTGTATAAATATGCCACTATTTTCCATTCCTCTATTGATGAACATGTCAGTTGTTTGCAATATTTTATTCTGACCAAATGCCCACATTGAAAATTCCTCGTGGGATGTTTCCTTATGATATATACCCAAAAAGTTGTATATATCTTCAACTTGATGAGATATTTCAAATTATTCTCCAAGTCAGCTCTACCAATTTACATACCAATTTACATGAGTGATTCTGTTTCCCCACATGCTCATGAATATGTAGTATTATCAGACCTTAAAAACTGTTTGCTGATCTATTAGGTGTGAACTGATATTCCTGTCTTTTTGATTTTTCTCTTTGCTAGTAAAGCTGAGCATATTTCTAGCATCATTTTTAAGTCTCCCTTCTGCCAAAATAATTCAGATCCATATTAAACCCAAATGGGCAAAAGCTGTCTAAATCTTGGAAAGAAAAGAACACATGTCATCCATGCTCTATTCTCGGCGCTCAGATTCACCATATTTTTGGCCCTAAAGATTTCTGTCACCAGAGGCAGGTTTTAGAAAACGTTAAAGAATCGAGTTCTGAACTCCCTCTCTCATCCACTCCACCTGCCTCACCAAGACACTCCCAAGTGTCAGAGACATTTCTTCTTTATTCCTTGAATATCTATATTATAGTAATTGTTCCCTAAAAATTAAATAAGTTAAATATTTAAAATAAATATTTAATTTAATTAATTAATTTAAAATGAGGAGTAAAATAAATCATTTGAAAGTCAAAGATTCACCATTTAAATGGAATAAATGCAAAGAAATCCACATCGATGAGATAGATTTCTCTCTCAAATTAGTAAAAAAAAAATTTTCCGAGTCAGTGTACATAGTGGAAAACAGTCATTTGCAAACTTCATATGACAACATAAATTATGTAAAATTTCTCTAGAGTCAATTCATAATACCTAGTATAAGCCTCAACAATTTGCATACAGTTTGAAAAAGAAACTCCATTTCTAGGAACTTATCCTAGGGAAATAATCAGACAACCCAGCAAAGTTATATGTTAGGAATGGTCACAAAGGCATTATTTATACAGCAAAGTAGCTGAGCATGCAGTAACATGAGATTAATTAAACATGACCTGGTAAAATGACTAAATAAAATATTATTTAATGGTATTAAAAAATATTCACAATAAACAGAACAAAAACAGAAGACTACAAAACCGTTTCCTTTTTTGTGTGAAAATGCATGGAAAAAGATTGTTAACTAAATGTTAACAATGGATATCTCTAGACGATGGAATTACAAGTGATTTTTTTTCCTTTAGCTAATGTGAATTTTCTAAATTTTATACATTAAATTTTTGTAGTAAAAAAGTCTATTTTAAGGAAGTCAAAGATGCTAGGACTCTAGTAGGCAGCAGGCAGTTACCTCTTTTTCATTGCTAGCCAGACCCTCCGTGAGAGGAGCATAGAGGATCAGGTATCCTGATGCGCCAGCCACTGCGTTCCATTTTGCCCTCAGACTATTCTCAGTCACATCATACAGTTCAAGGTCGGAAGCTATAGGTAAAGAAACTGCAAGAGAAGATTTTTTTTTAATGTTCAGTCATTTATCAGTGTGCTTATTTCAAAGCATCTATGCATTAGCATCTATTATGTAAACATAGTTTATTTTCACCCTTAAATTTGTTCACATAGCTTTGTAGGACCCTTCTGGAGAGTAAACATAGTGAATGTTTAGAAGCAGGAATGACATCTTGTAGTTTGTTATATCCCACTACAGTGACGGACACACTTCTCTGGGAGCCAGTCAAGAGCAGAGAGACTATTCTGACCATCACTTTATGCCTATCACCACTCACAGTGTCTGATATGCAGTGGTCATTAAAAATTAGTTGTTGGGTCACTTAATAAATGACAAAATGGGTGGCTGGACAAACAAATACTTGAATGAATAAATTACTCATCGATACATTTAATTAGAGACAGTGATAAAGTATCACTAAGTCAGTAGCAATAGGGTTTGAGAAAAATGGAATAATCAAGAAACAAGATCGGCCATATTTGACAAGTAGGGAGAAAGAGATTAAGGATAAATTGCGAGCCGGCCCCGTGGCTTAGCGGTTAAGTGCGTGCGCTCCGCTACTGGCGGCCCGGGGTTTGGATCCTGGGCACGCCCAGACGCACTGCTTGTCCGGCCATGCTGAGGCTGCGTCCCACATACAGCAACTAGAAGGATGTGCACCTATGACATACAACTATCTACTGGGGCTTTGGGGAAAAAAAAAAGGAGGAGGATTGGCGATAGATGTTAGCTCAGAGCTGGTCTTCCTCAGCAACAAGAGGAGGATTAGCATGGATGTTAGCTCAGGGCTGATCTTCCTCACAAAAAAAAAAAAAAAAAGGATAAATTACAAGTTCCTGGGTTAAACCAAGCCAACGAAAACCATGAAACATTGTTTTCAAACATAATTCTAAGCCCTCCATAATCGGTTCCTACCTGCTTTTCCAACCACAGTATCAAGTTTGGGATTTTGCTTACACAAGCAGCTCTCTGTCACACTTCTATTGGAGTGTCTATAGCACTTTACTGCACTAGTGTGTTTGCATGTCCTTGGATTGAATTCCTTCTCTTACTAGACTAAAACTTACTTGAAGGCAGGGATTGTTGCTAAGATATTTCTGCAAAGTGAAGGTATTAACACCTGCCTTACAAATTGTTGCAGAGATAAATTCAACAATGTATTGGATGTGACTGTGATTATCATAATGCCTGGCACATTGTTATTGGTGTGTTTACATTGCTATTGCTCTATCAAAGGCAGAGTTTTTAGACCAACTTTATATAGTGCCTGGCATGTAATAGGAACTCAGTTAATGTTTGAAATAACTAAATGAATGGGTAATCACATTTTTTAAGGTTATCTTTCTCAGGATTCTTTGAGTGTTTGTGTGTGTGTTATCATGATCATGCTCAGGTAAGGAATTACTAGTATTCATAAGCTTGTTTTAACTACAATGACATGAATAATGAGAACTGATGTAATGTAATTTCCTTGGTATTCCACTGGGCAGGAGAGCTACAGAGTTCCTTCTCTACATCTATTGACAAATTCAAGCCCAGTGCTTAGTTCATAAAATGCATTCACTAAATATTTGTTTATTAAATGATTAAATATTTTGCACCCTTCACCACTGAGTTTGCTCTCTCCTAAATATATCAGAGTTTTGTAATATCTCTCCCAATGTGTAGCACCTGCAAACACCGTGAGAACCATTGCCTATGAATTTGATGCCCTCAATACAACCTAAGCAGAATTCCAGTTTAGGCAAGGCCATCTAAGCAATGCTGTACAAAGTCATAAGTGGGGTAGAATTCAATACATACGTGTAGTTTCAGTTCCCCGTAGGGCCTCACTAGCGGTGTGGGCATATATTGCGAAGACTGCTATCTGATACTCAGTTAAAGACATCAAGTTCTTCAACATTGTGGAAGATACACTCCCATCTACCACCACCTGTTTAAAGAATAGTTTGAGAAATAAGACTATGGAATATCTCACATGCAGAACTGAAATCAAAAGCAAGAATATCTTTAGCAAGAATATTTCATTAAATATTTTCTTATTTATGCCATGTCATTTTTTTCCACTGTGGCAGTCAATTCTCCTTGAATTTCTACATGAAGTGACATACCTTTTATGGAATATGTCCAAAAATCCCTTACTAATTTATATCTAGTGTAAATTGTGTCATTCTCAGGCTAATTATTACCCTATTCTTGTTCACTTAATAACAGTAGACATGTGATATTTTTCCATGGAGCTTTGGGAAGCATTTAAAAGGTTTATTAGTCATGAAAAAGATAGAACCATTGGAAGCACTCTGATTTTTTTTAGTCCAGATGATTTAAAACTCCATGATCTACTTCTCTAACACTTAAAAAAGAAATCATAAATCCTGCCATAAGACAGAAGAAAATTGTGAAACATTCTGAGGTCAATCAGAGGTTTGAAAAACAAAAGGTTAGTACTTCAAAAAAAAAAGAAAGGGCAATTTCATCAAATTTTAACATATTCCCTGTGAATTGCTGTATCAAAGATAGGAAACAGGAAGGATCCAATCACCTGGCAATAAGTGTTCTCTCCTGTGGGCCAACCTATGAAAAAAACCAGCCACAGATGCTTCATTATGGCTTCTCCATTGCACTAATCTCCACAAATATCCAGGAAATCCCAAATCCTGGAGGACTATATGACCACATAATTTGGAACACACAGACTTCATTAAGGCAGAAGCTCAGACCACTCCCAAACAAGAAAGAATAAATGAACAGTAAAAGAGGGTTCTGGCCAGATAATAACTACTGATTCCTTTTGCTTTAGAACACATTAATTTTAAAAAGAAAAAAAAAGTCAAGACAACTTGTGTTAGAAATGGATACATGACCAGTTTTGAGAGTTATTCGATGGAGGTGAGAAGAGAAGATGTAAATATCATAACCCAGAGAGAGAGAACAACATGGACATATGGAAATGTATTTCCCTCAAATAATTTTAAATGTTTGTGACAGAATAATCTCCTTCTACATACATTTCTTTCTTGTCCTCACTACTATAGAAGACTTGAGAGAATAAAAATAATGGTTTGAAAATATTGTCTCCTTATTACCTCTTCTGGTTTTCCACCCCTGGCAGGATAATACACAATTCTGTATTTTTCCACTTTTCCTGGGGCATGAGTCCAGTTAACCATAAAGCTTCTGGCAGTGACTTCAGAAGTAATCAACTCTGTAGGTGGCCCAATGGTGGCAAAGGCTGATGCTAAATTAAAGAAATACATAAAATGAACCTCTTTCCCAAAATTATTTCTTATGAACCTAGCAAACTCCATTAATTAGAAATGACTACTGATTTTATGCTACCTCTAAGATTTTCATCTCTAGGTAAGTTGATTCAGTTATCCATTCCTACATTTGTTCATTGAAACATTTAAGTGTCTATTAGGGACCAATCGCTATGCTAGATTTTGAGGATGCGAACTTAAATACGACATAGTCCTTGACTCTCTTTAACTTTCTTAAAGATATTGCTATAGAATAATAAAAACAAAAACACAACATTAATTGAGCATACGTATACTAAAGGTTGTCTTCTGCGCTCTTTAGAAGTATTATCTCATTTAATTTTCAGTAGTTACCATTATTGTTCCCATTTTGTAGGTGAGAAAATCAAGGCATAGTGAAGTTAAATAACTTGCCCAAGTCTCACAATTAGTAAGTATCAGAGCTGAGATTTATTCTCGAGCTTCTTGATACAAGAGCCTGTGTTTTTAAGCATCAGAGGGTACAGCTTCTATAATGAAGACTTCAGTTCAACAAGTGGTCAATATCTAAAAGTAAAAAGAGACAAAAAGGCAACTAACATATACTGAATGCCCACTAAGAGCTAGACACTATGTAAGTACTTTGTGTGTGTTATATACATGTTAAAGCAAATGATTCTATAAAAGATTTGGGACACGTAAAGTTCAAAGTCTTTGAACTTTAGGACTTCTTATTGTCCAGGGGCACTTACTCAAAGGAACTTTAGTAACCATAGTAATGGGAAAAAACCATACTTATGAACACTAACTGTGGCTAGGAACTGTATTACATGATTTATCAGCAATCACATGTTTTTTTGTGGCAATATCTGGGCTTTCAAGTAGTCTCATTAAGAAGCTCAGAGAAATTTGTTCAGGAAACTACTGCTTGGCTGCTCAACCTAGTCCCAAGAGATCTGGTCCAGGGAAGGAAGAATGATGGAAGACAGAAGGAACATGTAGCCAAATAGAATCACACCACACTCTGGATACAATGAGGGCAGGAAATAAAACCAAACTCTTAAAGGAGGATCTGAACATTACCCTCTTCTCAGATCACATCCCTACAAGCCAGGTGTAACCTGCAGACCAATGATATGAAGGACAAGGGTTAAAAATCCATGATGGCTGTGTTTCCAGGAAGATAGAGTAGATGTACTTTTCCCTATTTTTCCTGCTAAGTACAAGTAAAACTCTGGAAATTATATATAAGACAAGCATAAGAAGATGCTGACAGAGAAAAGAAGGTAGATGAGCAAGGGACTATGGGACCCAAGAACTAATACAGTGGTGAGTTCCCTGAGTTTTCCTTTTGCATTATATATCCCAGACATGTGCTGAAGAATCCAGTAACCTAGAAACGCCAATAGTTATGGACAAAAAAGCCCCAACAAAGCCTGCTTTCTCTAGCCAAAGGACCAGGAAAGGGCCAGCCGGCCAAGACAGAAAACTTTTAGGCAATCACTGCTCTACTCTAGACAAATATCTCAGAAAAAAACTGTGGCCCCACCCCACCTCATGCCAGAAAAGTCCAAGTAGGCAGCCAAGACTTCCACTTTTCTTGGCTGTAACAGAGTGACCCAACATTCACCCCCATCCCATCACACAGCCAGGGTCATGTGAGAAAAGGCCAAGTAGGGAAGAGAGATAATCATCCCTGACAGGTGGTAATGAATCCTTCCACTACACTCCCATCTGTGATACCAGTGGAGACCACATGAAGAGCCTAGACTTCCAACACCACATGGTAGTAGTAAGGCACCACTCCTTTTTCCCTCTGGGCTGGTGTCAGAGGACATCTAGTGGTGAGTCAGTACTTGAAGAAATAATGCCTGAAAATTTCCCAAATTTGGCAAAAGATGTAAACTACAGATTCCAGAAAATGAGTGCACCCCAAACCGATAGGCCAACAGAAATTCACACCAGGACGTACCTTAGTCAACCTTCTGAAAACTAAACTCAGCGGAAAAATCTTAAAAGCAATGGGAGAGAAATGACACCTTACTTATAGGGGGAAAAATTTCTAATGACAGCAGATTTCTCATCAGAAACCATGGAGGCCAGAGGGAAGTGGTACAACGTTTTTCAAGTATTAATATAAAAAAGTTGTCAACCCCAAACTCTATATCTAGAAAAAATTTCTTTCAGGAATGAAGGGAAAAATCAAGGCTTTCTCAGATGAAGTAAAATTAAATAATTAAGAGAAATTTCCACCAAGACCTATCCTAAAAGAATGACTAAAAGAAGTTCTTTAAACAGAAGGAAAATAATCAAAAGAAGGAATCCCGGGACCAGAGAAAGGATGAAAGAATGACAGAAAAGCATAAAAATATAGATAAATATAATACATTTTAATTCTCCTCTTGAGTTTTCTATATTATTTTTGATGGTTGAAGAATTATAACAATTTCTGATGTAGTTCTAAATACAGAGAGAGGAAATATTTAAGACAATTATATTATACACAGGTATGGTAAAAGAACTTGAAGGAAGGTGAGGTTTCTACACTTCACTAAAACTAGTAAAATGTCAACACCAAATGTATATTTAATGTAATACTTAGAGCAACCACTAAAAAAGCTATATAAACAGATTCTATCAAAAACATTATGAATAAATCAAAATGGAGTTCTAAAAAATGTTTGAGTAACCCACAGGAAGGAAAGATAAAGAAAACAGAGAAATGAAAACTGGAGAGAAAAAACAGGGGAAAAAACACAAATAAAATAGCAGGCTTAAGCCCAAACATATCAATAATTACATTAAATGGAAATGGCCTAAACAAGCCAATTAAAAGGAAGAGATCAGCAGAGTGGATTAAAAAACATGACCAACTATATGCTGTCTACATGAAATCCACTTCATATATGATATGGGTAGGTTGAAAGTAAATGGATAAAAAAAGTTTTATCATGTAAACATTAACCAAAAGGGAGTAGAAATGGCTATATTATTATCAGATAAAGTAGAGTTCAGAACAAATAAAATTACCAGAGACAGAGGGACATTACATAATGATAAATGGTTAATCCACCAAGAAAATATAGCATCCTAAATGTGTATGCACCAAAGAGCTGCAAAATATATAAAATAAAAACCGATAGAACTGAAGGAAGAAATAGACAAATCTACAATTAAAGATGGAGACTTTAACACCCCTCTCTCAACTATTAATAAGACAACTAGAGAAAAAATCAGCAAGGATACAGAACTCAACAAGACCATCAACTAACAAGATTCGGTCAAAATAGAACATTGCACATAACAGCAGAATACACATCCTTTACAAGCATTCATGGAGCATATACTAATGTAAAGATAAACCATATCCTGGGCCATAAAACACACTCAGCAAATTTAAAAATTGAAATCATACAGAGTATGCTCTCTGATGACACTGAAATCAAAATAGAAACCAACAACAGAAAGATAATAGAAAAACATCTAAACACTTGGAAACTGTAAACAACACACTTCTAAATAATCAATGCATCAAAGAGGACATGTTAAAGAAGATCAGAAATTATTTTGAATTGAATGAAAATGAAAATACAACATATCAAAATATGTGGGACATTGCTGATGCAATGTTGAGAAGGAAATTTATAGCATTTAAGTAATTACATTAAAAGAGAAAACATCTCAAATCAATAATCTGTTTCTACCTCAAGAATCTAGAAAAATAAGAACAAAATAAATCCAAAACCAGCAAAAGGAAGAAAATAATAAAAATAAGAGCAGAAATCAATGAAATTTAAAACAGAAGAAAAATAGAGAAAATCAATGAAACCAAGAGCCAGTTCTTTGAAAAGATTTTTTTTCTTTAAAAAAGGACAAGCCTCTAGCAAGATCAGTAAAGAAAAAAAATAGAGACAACAAAAATTACCAATATTAGGAAAGAAAGAGGAGCTATCACTACAGACCCTCAAGACATCAACAGAACAATAAAGAAATGCTATGAACAACTCTACACACACAAATTCTATAAGTTCTATGAAATGGACCAATTCCTTGAAAAGCAGAAGCTCTCCCCCCAAGATGGAGAATAGGCAAGGATGTTCATTCTCATCACTCTTATTCAACACAGTACTGGAGTTATAGCCAGTGAAATAAAGCAAGAGAAGGAAATAAAAAGCACAGAGATCAAAAGGGAAGAAATAAAACTATCCCTATTTGCAAATTATGTGATGTTCTACATAGAAAATACCCCCAAATTTAGAAAAAGACTCCTAGAATGAATTAGCAAGTTCAAATAGTAGAGTTATAGTATAAAAGATAACATAAAAAATATAATTGTATCTGTATATAGCAGCAATGAACACGTGGACACTGAAATTAAAAATACAATACAACTAAAATCTCTCCAAAAAAAATTTACATACTTAGATGTAAATAGAAAAAAACCTGTAAGAACTTGTATTCCAAAAACTACAAAATCCTGATGAAGAAATAAAAGAATATCTAAACAAATGGAAGGATTTACCGTCTTCATGGATTGAAAGAATCAACATAGTAAAGATGTCAATTCATTCTGAGTTGATATTTGATACTTGAGAATTGATTAATGCAATTCCTATCAAAATCCCAACAAGATTTTTTGTATAATAAAGATTATTCTCATATTTATATGAAAAGGTAAAGGAAGAAGAATAGCCAAAAAAAAAATTGAAAAAGAATAATCAAGTGGAAGAAAGTCTACCCAATGTCAGGACGTACTCTACAGCCAGAGTAAATCAAGACTGTATGACACTGGAAGAAGGTTAGACATGTGGCCCCAATGGAACAGATTAGAGAACCCAGATATAAACCCACACAAATTTGCCCAACTGATACGTGACAAAGGTGCAAAGCAATTCAATGGCAGAAATACAGCTTTTTCAACAAGTAGTGCTGAAGTAATTGTACATTGATAGGCCAAAAAAAGAAGCTTGAACTAAATTTCAAATATTTTATAAAAAAATTAACTCAGATCCTAGAATTAAATGCAAAATATTTTAGAAAAAAATGTAAAACTTTTAGAAAAAAATACAAAGGAAAATCTTCAGGATCTGAGGACAGGTAAAGCATTCTTAGAATTGACACCAAAAGCACTAACCATTAAATTAAAAATTGATAAATTGGATCTCATCAAAATTGAAAGACTTTTGCTCTGCAAAAACCCTTGTTAAAAGGATGAAAAGACAAGCTACAGATTGGGAGAAAACACTAACAAACTACATATCCAACAAAGGATTAGTTTCTAGAATATAAAGAATTGTCAAAACTCAACAGTTAAAAACTAAACACAAAAAATAAAACCAAAAAAAGTCCAATTAGAAAATGGGCAAAATACATGAACAAACATTTCACCCAAGGGGATATACAGATGCAAAATAAGCATGTGAAAAGATATTCCACTTCATTAGCTATCAGAGAAATGCAAATGAAAACCACGAGATATTACTACATACCCATCAGAATGGCTAAAATAAAAGATAATAACAACAAAAAATGTTGGTGACAACGCCTAGAAGCTGGATCACTCATATATTGTTGGTGGGGATGTAGAATACTACAGGCACCCTGGAAAACAGTTTAGCAGTTTCTTAACTAAAACTAAACTAAATTAAACATGCAGCTACCATATGATGTAGCAATTGCACTCCTGGGCATTATCCCAGAGACTTGAAAACTGATGTTCACACAAGGACATATACATGAATGTTCATAGCAGCTTTACTTGCCCCAGCCAAAAAATGGAAACAACACAGATATCTTTCAATTTGTGAATGGTTAAACAAACTATGGTACATCTATACCATGGAATACAACACAGCAATAAAAAGAAAAGAGCTATGGATATATGCAAGAACTTGGATGAATCTCCAGGGAATTACTCTGACTGAAAAAAGCCAATCCCCAATAGTTATGTACTACATAATTCCACTTATATAATATTTTCAAAATGAAAAATATTTAGAGATGGAGAACAGATTAGTTGTTGTCAGGGCTTCGGGAGCGGTTGGAGGAAGGATATAAGTGAATGTGGCTATAAAAGGATCACAGGAAGGATCCTTGTGGTGGAAATGTTCTGTATCTTGACTGTATCAATGCCAATATCCTGCCCGTGGTTTCTCAATATGTTACCATTGAGGGAAACTGGTAAAATATACTCGATCTCTAGATTATTTATTACAACTTTACATGAATGTACAATGATTTCAAAATCCAAATTTTAATTAAAAAAAAAAAAAGATGGTCTAAATGCAACACCATGGAGAAAATTATCTAGTGGTTAAAATATTCCCCTTCTCCACCACAGAGCCTACCAATATACTCTCTTTTCTACTCTGATGATTCACGTCTTACAATAAAGGACTCTATTTAGAAAGTCAACATGAAAAATGGTACGAGTTTTCATAATCCACAGTAGACTTTTGTGCAGGGTGATACCCCCATGCCCAGAATGACTGTTCTGTCACTCTTTTACCTTTGATCTCCCTGTCCTGTTCTTCCACCCTGGAGCAGACAGTCCTCGTCAGGCTCTCCACCACTGTGTGCATCAGGTCAAATTCGGCGACGTTGTACACGTGAGTGCTGTCTGGTTCGGAGGCGATCTCCTGCAGTTCATTCTCATCCGCATTTTTCACCCCTTGCATTGAGGACAACAGAGAGGGTCGTGACATTCATGCCCCATTTGAAAAAGCAACTACAGGGAGCCTGACCCGAGCCCATCAGTCGCCCCTGCAATCAAAGCATCAGCTACTTTAAAGAGGCAGTGCTCATGTCAGACTGGCTTTTAAAATCACCTTCAGAATCATTTTTAACTGATTAGATCTTAATTTTGTTAACAGGAAGATATCCTGATGAAACTAACTTCTGTCTTGCATGAATATATTGCAGAAGCAGTAGTAATTAAACCAGTATTCTAAACTATCTTCAGGTCCAAATTTCTATTAAATAAGTTTACTTAAATTGAGAGATATTGCTAGAATAAAAATTATATATATAAAATTATTATTATTATTATTATTACATAGCATTAAGAGAAAGCTTGGGAAAATTTCTTCTAACATACCTAAGTATAATTGGCTGGCTAGGAATCACTGCAATTTTGCTAATGGAAATAGGGAAGCTCTGGTTCTTCCACAATATTTATTGAATTCCATTACTACAGGTCAAGTGCAACGCTGGGTGTTTGGAATACAGCAGAGAATAGAGTGAGACAGAAAATCCTCATTCTTCACGCAACTTTTCCAGTCTATCTTAGCAATGGTTGCTAACATTTAAGGGTGTGCTTACTCTGCCTCAAGCACTTCAGTGTTTTATGTATATTGACATATTTAATCCTCACAACCAATCCAATGAGTTTGGCACTAGTGTTTCTTCCATTTTACGGATGAGTAAACTGATGCACAGAGAGGTTTCAAGGAAACACAACTAGTAAGTATACAGCTGGGATTCCACCCAGGCAGTCTAGACTCAAAGTCGTATGCTTTTAACCACGAAATCAAGCTGCCTCTCAGAAGAGTGTACATTAAAATGAGTAAATATTTACCAATGAAATTAGAAATAGAAAAAAGGAGGCAAGGGTTGGTTTTTTTTTTTTTTTTTTGGGGAGATCAGCCCTGTGCTAACATCTACCAATCCTCCTCTTTCATTTATTTATTTATTTTTTTGCTGAGGAAGACTGGCCCTGGGCTAACATCCATGCCCATCTTCCTCCACTTTATATGGGACGCCGCCACAGCATGGCTTGCCAAGCAGTGCATTGGTGTGCGCCCAGGATCCGAACCGGCGAACCCTGGGCCGCCACAGCGGAGCGCGTGCACTTAACCGCTTGCACCACCGGGCCGGCCCCAAGGGTTGGATTTTTTTATGAGTGAGTGTGAAGGTAGATTTCTCTTCCCCAGGCTTCAGCGAACAAGGAGCATTTCTTTCTAAATCCCTGTCATTGCAATCATCCGAGGGCGTTAAAAAGAGGTACTATGGAAGCGCTGTGCCATTTAATTTATCTTCCAACCTCAACATATTAAGTAATGAAGCGATGATTGTCTCTGAACTATTTGCTTTAGAGGGTTATAAGATAATAAATACTACTGATTTCCAGGTAATTGCAATAGAAAAAGTCCAGGTCACATCTAAATGAGTTCACTTAAAGTTTTGCTTAAAAACTCATCCACTCACTATTAACAAGACCAGAAAATGGAGAGGAAACACATAAATTAATCCTTCATTATTTTAAGTCTTCCGCAGGGATTTCCTTTGCTGGACAAAAGGATAGGAAAAAAAAAAAATCAATCTGATGTATCTTGCCTGAAGGACTTCTACAATAGCTTCTAAAATGCACAGTTAGATCTGTGTCCACAATAACAAAGTAACACTGAGTGCATGCAGAAGCAATGAGCTTAATGTCAATAATGCTTTTCATGGCATATAGTTAAAACCAACAAGTTTGGATTCGTATAAGAATATTCTAGGGAAGATAGCTCCCAATCTGTCTCTTTCTCTCTCTCTCATTTTTCCAAACAGAATTGTTTGGCTGTTGCAAAAAGCCTGGCAAAGAGATGAAATGGTCATCATGACTTGGAAGGCATTTGTTTTGTAGGAATTTTGCCTTGCTCTTCTTTGCGCATCCAGCACCCCCCACAACGCCTGGCACACGGCAAATAAACAAATACTTCTTTAATGAAACATTCTATGAACCGTATTTTGAGTAGCAAATCTAGGAATGGGTCCAAGGAATTGTTTCTTGTTATTTGAGTTTTTTGTTGTTGTTCGTTGATAGCTTTGAAAGATGTCCTGTTAAACTTCAGGATGAGAAATGTAAATGCCAAATAAATCTGAAATATTTCCGACGACCAAATTCATATTTTAAGTTGCGACTGAAGGACTGAAGTTGCCATATGGTTCAAGCCATTTAGTTTATTGCCTGTATAAGTTCCAAGGATGTGCTGGTAAATGTTTAACAATCAGCTTTCGGCACTGATTTGTCGTGTCTGCTGATTTCTGTTATAAATACCCACACTATGACTAATTTCAAACTACCAACACAAGTCACAGAATACAGACTTGGGAAGAGATGCAAACTTTGCAATTGGCTCTTGCAAACTGGTATGACCTGGCCTCAGCACATCACTGAGATATAATACACACACACACACACACACACACACACACACAAAATAATAAGAATATAATCTACCCAAACCAAAGCTTGAACATAATACATTAATTTTTTCCTCTGAATTTCCTTTGCTCTTTCTTTTGTGAACAGAATACATAGCCTTTACTAGCAGTATTTTAAAATGGCTTTTACCATGGAAAAACACCCTTCACTTACCTGAATAGTAATAATAATACACTTGTCTCTTACGTGTATCTTTCACAAGTATTTTAACACTAAACATAATATTGCTGCCTTAGAAATCCTTTAGACACACTAAATTATTCAATAACCATTTACTGGACACTTATTAAGTGTCAAGCACTGGGTTAGGTTCTGGGAATGAAATGATGAAGAAGACACAACCTCGTCCTCCAGGAAGTCACTGTCTAGAGGCGCTGGCAGGGATAAGGAACAGGAAAGAGAGAGAAGCACAGTTTCTATAACCGCTTCTTGCTTCTGCACCTGTTCTCAGTCAGTACTTGGCTGGACACTAATAGGAAATAAGTTCTGAAAAAATGACGGATCAGAATCATGCGCTGATGAAAAAAAATGTATAAATAGAGAAACATTTTAGGACTTTTCTCTAAAGGAGAGAAACTTGAACGATACACAAGGAGTAGATAATGCAATGGGTTTACCAGTAGTTCTCAACCTTAGAGAATGTTTTAAAAGTACAGCTTCCTAAGCCCCTGCTTTCTGGATATTTCAATTGAGTAGGAATAGAATGGGTCCCTGGCATCTGTATTTTTTTATGTTGACAGCCAGTTGGTCTCTCCTAACTGGTATATAAGTCCACGATGGAGCACATTCTCTTCAAACAGAAGAAACATCCCATAGTTCACAAAAAGAAGATTGCATCATATTCTCAATAAATGCTGGGAGATAAATGCATTTTAATGAGACTAAATATTGATAAATAGAATAATTAAATATGTAAAACATAATGAAATGGACCATTCATAATAAGCAATTTTAAATGTCTTCAGAGCCCTGTTGAGGAATTTGCTGTGACATTTTGATCTGTATTTCAGTGTTGCTTAGCAATTAGGCTTTTTTTCTGCTGAGAAAGTTTGCCAGTCTCTACTAACAAAAGACCCTCCCGTTGCTAAAGAAAACGTAAACATTTTAATCAAGAGCAAAGTTGCCTCGTCATCTAAGTATTTTGCACTTATTCTGAATGTGTGCCTTATATATCCTTTCCCACAAGAATGACACCTTATAAAGAATTAGTTTCAAAGAAATAATACTGCATATCTAGAACTTTGTGCTTTCTTTAAGTAGCTTTAGGACCCTAATTCCATGAAAATGATAAATCAGTTTCTCCCTATGTGACGAGAGAAGAGATAGCTATAAAGCAAAACTTAAAAGTCCTGACTAATTAAAAGATAACAGAGACTCACCTAGAGATCCTCATGCCATTGAATACATGACAGTTACCATCACTTCCATTTTAAATGTAAGGAAGTTGGGCTACGACTAGAGCCAGCACTAGAAAGTCCTGGCTTTTAGTGAAATGCACTTTGTATTACATATTGTTTCAACTGGTTGTGTGTCTGTGCCCATTGTGGAAACAGGACCATAGAATAAATAATACATACCTATGGCAAACAGTTCTATACCAGACTCACGAAGGTTTCTGGATGGTGGAATAATATCATCTTGGGACTTTCCATCTGTGATTAAAATGCCAATTTTGGATACTCCAGACCTTGCTCCTGCTTCTGGTTTAAAGCTATTTTCAAAAATGTAGTTCAAAGCAAGACCTGGGGGAAAATAAGGAAAAATAAACACAAACCAACCATCTCTAACAAAAAGCTTTCCAATTCTGCAAAACGTAACCACAAGATGATTAACTTATTGAGCTAAAAGAGTTTTTATTAGGTGTGAACTTTCTTCTTCATTTTTACAGTGATCTTTTCTCTGACAGATCTGATGAAAAACTAAAATCCACCAGAATAGAGGTAGTAAAAATAACTGAATATTGCATCATTTCAGAAATTAGCATTTATAAAGAACTTTGAATTCATGGCAAATAGATGTTAACAAATGTGTGAACAAGAAAATCTAAACCCTTATAATTTAGGATGAAGCAACAATACCCACGCAGAAGCTACGGTCCCAAATATTATCACTACGCTTTCAATTTTGTTCATGATGGTGTAAAGAACAAAAATTCTTTTTCTCTCTTTTTTAGGGGTAGTGGGAGCAGATCTAAAATGATAATTGAATGCCTGCCTTTTAGTGTGACACTTTTCACCTGGAAAAAATAAGAAACACGGCAATATTGTTATAGGGTTTGTGTTTAATAAATTTTTTGTTGTATTAACAAAAAACCCATTCGATTATGCCTCAGATGGGCAAAGCAGTGATCAGGATTTCAGTGGTTTACTTAAAAGTCAAGGACAGCATCTCTATTGTTGAACTGAGCATCTACATCGTGCGCCTGCGGAAGGAAACAGCATGTGCTAAGGTTAAAACCTGTAATAACCCCTTGTGGTTAGGCCACGGATAATTATAATCTAAATATTCTTACATTACTCATTATAAAAAATATTCATAAGCCAAAGATCTATAAATATTTTCATGATAACTACTGATTGCAGGATAAGGGCAAAGAAAATACCTTCCTTGAAAACAAGGCAGAAATTTGCTTTTATTTAATTGACAGGGTGGCTGGAGGAGAAGACAGGTGAAAACAAAGGAAGGAAAAGGAGCTAACAAAGGTTAAGAGAGCTCCTGTAGGCTGCCAGGCTCAGGGATTGGTCTGTTGTCTTCCAGCCCAACCAAGGCCTTCCTAGGGCATCATACTCATACAGCAAAAGGAATGAGATGTCTAGGCTTTAACCCTTGATGCTGAGTTTGAGAAAAGAGCCAACTCAGAACTTTAGATGCTAGTTTAGTTAAAAAATACTATGCCCAGTCTTACCAAGTGACAGAATGAAGTAAAAAAACTATTCTTCAGCAAGATATGTTGCTAAAAATGTGGACTGAACAGAACATACCTGTGAGTGTATTTCCTCCCTTGTATGGTAGATTTCGGACAGCTTCGATCACCTCATCTTTTGTGGTAAAGGCATTCAAGTGCCATTCTATTCTGGGGTCTCCACTATACTGTGCAAGACCTGGAAAAGAAAGATGAGAAAGTCCACCCAGAAATGATGGGTTACTCAAAGAGCTAGTGGACTATTCAAGAAACTAGAATGATGAAGTGTCTAATCTTTGTAATATTTTTTTCTCTGCCTCACTATGTACTTTCAAAAAGAATTCCTTACATCAATTTAAGGAATTAATTTGGACTATTTGGGGGCTGGGGGAATGTACATATCTTCTAGCTATTTAGTAGTGAGCACCCAGTTACGCATTTAGCACTTTTTAAAAAACATCTGGGGGCCGGCCCAGTGACGTAGTGGTTAAGTTCGCATGCTCTGCTTCAGCAGCCCAGGGTTCTCGGGTTTGGATCCTGAGAGTGGACCTACACACTGCTCATCAAGCCATGCTGTGGCTCTGTCACACATACAACAAAATAGAAGAAGACTGGCACAGATGTTAGCTCAGGGACAATCTTCCTCAAGCAAAAGGAGGAAGATTGGTAACATATGTTACTTCAGGGCCAATCTTCCTCACCAAAAAAGAAAAAGAAAAGGTCTGATTGTGCTCGTAGATAAAAGATCTAGATTTATTTGTTTGTTTTTATTCTCAAAGGAATGGATCTCCTTCATGGCTATTTAAATGTGACACCACAAGAATTTAATAAAGTGGCTATGTTGCTCAACAATTTACAACTTCTTTTTTTTGCTTTTTATCTCAGCTTGAATTAATTTGGCAAAGATTACCTTGTACTACAAAACTATTTCCAATTTCCAATTTTCTTAGTTCAACATTTCACTGGATTCAGCTGTTATCTTTTAAAGAAAAAAAACTTTTGCCTTATAAATTCTTAAACCAACTGTAATTTTAAAAGTTTATTATTATTATTATTATAAGGCAAAGAAGATTTTGACTTTCTAGAACATTAAAATGTATTCAGTAATTAATTGAATGACAGTGTTGCAGCAAAAATTAGTAGGAGTAAATATTTATTGATCCGAGCTTGCTCTTTTGGGAATATCTTGTGATTCTGAAAGTCATTCTGCAAAGAGTTCTTGAAATTTCTTAAGAAGCTTCCCAGCAGTTTTACACTGACAGCTAACTGCTGTTATTAATAGAAGATATACCAATTCGTGTCTTCTCTGAGCCCACGTCGAATGCTGTAACCAGGTTTTCCAAGAAAAGCCGAACCAGTCTGAAGTTGAATCTTCCAATACTCCATGAGCCATCAACCAGGATTACAATATCAGCAACAGCTGGAGTTTGACAGAAAAATTTCTCTTCTGCAAAGCACAAACCAGAAAAGCATCCACGTTACTGGTGGAACTTTTAAAAGAGTGAGTTAATTTTAACGTCTTTCAGATAACTTAGTGCTAAGAATACAATCAAGTCCCCATTAAAGTTACCATGTTTTTATACCCCTTCCCTTAAACCCATTTCTACTAGGAAAAAATTGTGGTAACAGCTGGCAGCAGAGCCAGTGTTCTGCAAATAGTTAGCAAAACACTGGCAGGTTCACACCATCCTGGCAACTCAAGCCTTCTGCATATTTTAGAAAGTAGTGTCTGTGCAAAATCATCCAGCTTTGGGTTTTAGCCTACAGATTCTTTCCAGGAAAGGTCTTAGCAACACCAGTATGGGACAGTTAGCAGAGATGGGAAGATGACCAGGACGTGGAGAGGCGGCTGTCCTATTTTGATAAGTCTTTGCTAGAGGATATGATAGGAGAAAAGAAATATGGGCTTCCTGAATTCCAGGAAAAGTGGGGGCCATGCATTTAATCTAAGAAAGGTACACAGACCTTTGCTAAAGTAGGAAGGGCTTGTGAAAGAAGAAAATTGCAAAAGGGCCCAAGAGTTTCCCCAAATTCAAATTCTTTTGCATATTGCATCTATGTGACAGTAAGATTTTGATCCCCAAAATCATTTAAGTAATTGATTTTTTAAGTAGCTCAATTTGGCCTCAGAATAATGATCTGAAAAAGGATGCCCAGTGGCTGGTATGGCACTACCTTAAGCTTTACCCTCTGGGAAAGTCCCAGCCCACGGTGTGGACAAGACGCAGAGGGCAAACAGCTGTCTGCAAACAAAGGAGGAGGCTGTCTGATATAGGGTAGGTCTGCGCTCACCAGGTGAAAACCACCACTTACATTCACTCAGAGCCAAGATACTAAAATATTCTTTATTTATTTATTTTTTTTTTGTGAGGAAGATCAGCCCTGAGCTAACATCTGTTGCAAATCCTCCTCTTTTTGCTGGGGAAGACTGGCCCTGGGCTAACATCCATGCCCATCTTCCTCCACTTTATATGGGACGCAGCCACAGCATGGCTTGACGAGCGGTGCGTCGGTGCGCACCCGGGATCCAAACAGGTGAACCCCGGGCCACCGCAGCGGAGCGCCTGCACTTAACCGCTTGCGCCACCGGGCCAGCCCTTAAAATATTCTTAACGTGTTCAAGAACTCTCGAAAATTTCACGATATTGTTGGTACCTTTGGAAGCATTGCTTCATACAGTAGTTTGTGCTTCCAAAAGGACTGCTTAACTTTGATGAATTTTATATTAGGACTGGAGATCATGAATATTGTGTGTGTGTGTTTGTTTCTTTGAGTCCATGTCTACTTGTTGAAATTGCCCAGCAAATCCCTATTTAGTTTGTTTTCTAACATTAAACTGACAATAAAACAATATTTGAAATATAATGTATGTAATGAAAAGCAAAATACAGAAGTGTTCATTTGAATATTTGTTTTTCCTAGGGGAAAAAAAATACTTGAACTACATATGGTTGGGGCAGGCAGTTTAATATGTCTCTGCACCTACCAGGCCACATTTTGCTTAAAGGATCTTGGTGTTTTGCCCCAGACATAAATATGCATAAAATACCTAGATCCTTTTACCAGATGGGGAAAAAATATACTTGCCAATGAAATACTCAAATTCTCATCTGAATAAGGAAGCTAAACAGTACAGCTTGATCCAAAGTTTATATACTACATTTTTTGGCTCCAAATATCCCTTCTTTAATAACCAAATACAAAGCTACCTCCAACTTGGGAGTCTGCTCTACTGTACCACACTGAAATATTCTAAAACAGAATACTGCAAGAAGTCATGGGACAGAAATTAATTTGGTTTTGGGAAATAATCACGGAAAACTGAAGTCTTATGTAGTTCCAAAAACCTATTTCTTTCAGTTTTTATGGGGAAACTTACCTCAAATGAAAAGTAGTTTTCTTTTCCTTCCAAAATTATTAGGGATACTATTTTGCTTTCTAATTAATTGTTTGGGTACATTATAGACAGAATCTTAGACAGAAAACAATTTCTCTCTGCTTATTTAGAAGAGAACTACAAAACCAGTATTTTCTATTTTAAAATAGTTTCCAATAAAAATGTTCTGTTGATTTAGCTCATTCAAATTATTTTGACTTGGTAATATAAAGTCTATATAGTTCCAAAGCAAGATATAAAGTGAACTGATGATAAATTAGAAGGTCGATAAATTTAATGATATCAAAATTTTAAAGTTGTTCATCAAAAAACACTTTAAAGAAAATAAAAAGACAAGTTGAAACTGGGAGAAGACATGTATAATATAAAAAACTGAAAAAGAAGGTATCAAGAATATACAAAGAACCATGAATAGACACCTCAGAGAATAGGAAATATTTATGAGTGATAAATGAATGAAGAGATTGTCTAATTACATTAGTGATCACAGTAATAAAAAAAATCAAGATCACAATGAGAAATAATTTGTGCTCATTCAACTGAAAAAAAATTGAATACCATTTATAAGCACTCCAAAGATAATTAAATATTTAGATACATACTTAACAAAACATATGCAGGATCTGTGTGCAGAAAATTACATTCCTGATAGGAGAAATCAAAGAAGACCTAAATAATTGGAGAAGTTTCCTGGGTTCATGGATTGGAAGAATCAACATAGAAAAGATGTCAGTTCTCCCCAAATTGATATTTGATCATTGAGAATTGATTTAATGCAATTCCTATCAAAATCCCAACAAGGTTTTTTGTAGAATAAAGATTATTCTAATATTTATATGAAAAGATAAAGGATGAAGAATAACAAAAACAATTTTGAAAAAGAATCATCATGTGGGAGAACTCAGTCTACCCGATGTCAAGATTTACCCTATAGCCAGAGTAAATCAAGACTGTATGATATTGGAAGAGGGTTAGACACACGGACCCAATGGAACAGATTAGAGAACCCAAATATAAACCCACACAAATTTGCCCAAGTGATACTTGACAAAGGTGCAAAGCAATTCAATGGCAGAAATATAGCTTTTTCAACAAGTAGTGCTGTAATAATTGTACATCAATAGACAAAATAGTGAACCTTGAACTACACTTCAAATCTTTTACAAAAATTAACTCAGATCACAGACTTAAATGTAAAACAGAAAACTTTTAGAAAAAAAAATCAAAGGTAAAAATCTCTACATTCTAAGGCCAGGCAAAGAGTTCTTAGGCTTGACACCAAAAGCACTAACCACAAAATAAAAGATTGATAGATTGGACCTCATCAAAATTAAAAACTTGCTCTGCAAAAGACCTTGTTAAAAGGATGAAAAGATAAGTTATATATTGGGAGAAAATATTAGCCAATCAAATATCGAACAAAGAATTAGAATCTAGAATCTAAATAAATAACTCTCAAAACTCAACAGTTAAAAACTAAACACAAAAGGGGCCAGCCCAGCGGCATGGCGGTTAAGTTCACATGCTCTGTTTCGGTGGCCCGGAGTTTGCAGGTTCGGATCCTGGGTGTGGACCAACGCACCGCTCATCAAGCCACGCTGTGGTGGCGTCCCATATAAAGTAGAGGAAGATGGGCACAGATGTTAGCCTAGGGCCAATCTTCCTCAGCAAAAAGAAGAGGATTGGCAATGGATGTTAACTCAGGGCTAATCTTCCTCACAAAAAAAAAAAAAACACACACACACAAAAAACAGGACGAAAAATAATTCAATTAGAAAATGGGCAAAAGATATAAAGAGACATTCACCAAAGAGGATACACAGTTGCAAAATAAGCATGTGAAAAGATATTCAACTTCATTAGCCATCAGGGAAACACAAATTAAAACCACAATGATATTTCACTGTATACATCTGTCAAAACGGCTAAAATAAAACATGGTGATGACAACAAATGCTGTCAAGGATGTTTAGAAACTGGATCACTCACACATTGCATGTGGGAATATAAAATGGTATAACCACTCTGAAAACAGTTTGGCAGTTCCTTTAAAAATCGTACATGAATTTATCATACAATCCAGCAATTGCACTCTTGGACATTTATCCCAGAGAAACGAAAACTTATATTCACACAAAAAAACTGTACACAAAAGTTCACAGCGGTTTTATTCAGAATAGTCAAAAACTGAAACCAATCAAGATGTCCTTCAACAAGTTAATGGATAAACAAACTGTGGTACATCCCTACCACGTAATACCTCTCAGTAGTAAAAAGGAAAGAACTATTGATACACACAATGACTTGAATGAATCTTCAGGGAATTATCCTGAGTGAAAAAAGCCTATCTCCAAAAGTTACCTACTTCATGACTACACCTACGTAAAATTTTTAAAACGAAAATAATTTAGAAATTGCGGACAGATTCGTGGTTCTCAGGGGTTAAGGATGGGGAATGGAAAGGAGGTAGAGGTGGTTATAAAAGGGCAGCATGGGGATCTTCATGGTCATGGAACCGTCCAGCCTCTTGACTGTACTTATCGATACACAAACATACACATGTGATAAAACTGTATAGAACTAAACACACACACGTACAAATGATACAAGTAAAATTGAGGAGATCTGAACAAGTGGATGTATTGTAGCAATGTCAATATGCTCATGTGATATTGCACTATAACTTTGCAAAATGTTACTACTGAGGGAAACTAGGTAAAGGGTACACAAATCTTTATTATTTCTTATAGCTTCTTGTGAGTCTACAATTATCTCAATAAAAATCAATTTAAAAAGCATAAATAATAAAAAAAAATAAGTCTAATAATACCAACGTAAGCAAAGAGATGGACCCTCAGGATCTCTTGTACATTGCTGGTAGAAATGTAAATTGTTGCAAATTCTTTAGAACAGATTTTTGGCATTTCCTTCTCTAGCCGGAAATTCACCAATCTTGCCACCCAGCAATTCCTCTCTTAAGGCTATACCCAAGGGGAATTCTTGCACACGGACAATAGGAAGCAAGTAGAAGAAATTTGATAGAAGCACTG